ATGACTATTCCATCGTAGCCGTCCTTACAGACACTGCGGCCTTTTCCACATGACTGGTACCTCGTTCCTGTACGGAGGAGGCTTCCGCCATGATAAGCTCCCGCCTTCCGTTGGGGCACGTGACTTGCAACATTCCATGGGCCTAGAACGCCATTTCTCTCGACGGCTCCTCCAGTCACGTCGCTCAGATTATACGCCATACGATGACTGTATTGTGACCCCGTCAACTGTTCAGTTTCCAAAGAATTCACAACATCCACCCTTAGCCCTTGAACATGCGCGTCCATAGCGCGTATATCACATGTTCCAGCCGAAGAAGGCTTCCTTCACAGCGAATGGCTACCCGCGTGGTCCTGACCCTGCGTCACGGCAGCCTTGTGGTGGCAAAATGGCACGAAAACTAATGAACTCAACCATCCCGACAGCAACGGCCACCAAGATAAAGCGTCATGGCTACGTCGGCAAAAATTGATGATCATTATATACAGAGTACTGTACGATTGGGCAAGGAGCAGGTTTGTTGCGACCAATGCTTTTCGAGAGACTGCCACCGACCCGAGATGCCTCTGGCTCGTGTCAATATCTCTGCCTCAGGCCGAGGCTCGCGGTGACAAGTCGACGACCGGCTGCCAGCAAATACGACCAGGTCGTTGAATGACGAATGGCGATGGGCAAGCGAGACTTCTCAATTGTTGTCCACTCTGTGAATCGACTATCACCTTCTGAGGCGGTCGCTGTCATCGCCACAATGTGAGTCCGAGGCAGTTCCAATTGACCAGACACAGTGGCCCCCCTCAAATACAACATTGCAGCACCACGAGCCTCTATAACCAGACATTGCCAACACATAACTCACCTTCCGATACCCTTCTCAAACCAAGAGAACTAAATGTGACATCCCCCGCGTTCCAGAAACCTTCCCCCTCCCCCGGGGATCCCCCTCCAAACATAGTTTCAGCTTCGGAAGCCCGATTTCCTGGGGTACCGGCTGCGGCTACTTCTTATAGCTTCCACAATTCAGCCACCTTGTCTGAACCCGTGACGCCCTGATAGGCTAGTCGGCGCCTTCCACCTCCCACGGAAACCTCCGTCAGATCGATGGCGCCCCTGTCAAGATAAACGATCAACCCCAGACATACATGCAGCGATAGCCGAGCGCGATATTCTTCCCGGGTATCCCGAGTGTCCACATGTTGCCGATAGGGAGGTACCGGGCCTATGCAGATCGAATGTAGAATCACTGCGGAGTACGTTGTATGGACCTCTATGGAGTCCTGTGCACGACATTGTAGCCTGGGACAGGGGGGATCAGCCACAAGCGCATGTACAGAAGAGATTCACCATTGTCCAATAACATGACTCGGTCATGCAAGATGGTCTACGCAGTAGTACAAGGTGATCGTAATAGTCTCGAATAATAAGCGGCTAAATCTTTCGCTTGCTTATCTCCCCCACCCAAGAGAACTGGGGGGCGGAGAGGCAAATTGAGTATGTGATTGGATACTAGCCTGGCAAAGTTGCCCCACGGAAGATAAGAAACAACCCACCCTTTAACGTCCTCTCCAGTAGGTCGTGAACTGGACAGTTCGGAGTTAGCTATACTTACTCCGTAGGGACTAGTACCTGTTGCTTACCTGTGCTTGCCTGAGTCCAGAGGAATCGAGTTATGCGATGCTCTTGGCTAATGCCAACCGGAACCCGGCGATCCAAAAAAGTATCTTATCGCCCTCCCCGGTTGGCCCTTCTCCACACGGATATGGACACGCGAGTTAGAGTTCGCGACTGGTCGGGTTGCTTTTTGGAGAAGCTTGGCTGTTAATTAAATTTTTCTTTCTGGATTTTCTTACCCTTTGCTTTCCGATCAACGTCGGGGACTTGATCTCTCTTGTTCACGCGATCCAAATAAATATATAATACGTTCCCCGTCTCCGGTGGAGAATGCGATCCAGTTTTGGAGTGTACAACGATCATTGAAGCACCTATCCGATCCACGATATTCTGACGCGATGGACGGCCCCGACCAAATCGGTCCTGATCATGGACCGCGACAAACCGTTGGCGACAAGTTTCGTCGTTTTGTCAAGGCTTTTACTACAAAGTAGGTCTTTTCTTTGCCTTTGCGGGTTGAAAGTATACAGCTTCACTAGAGATGATCCGGTATACGTTTGCTAGTTCCGTTGACTGACATTCAACAGAGACGGCCTCATCGGTAGCTATGATTATGCATACCTCTTTACCCCGCGTCTCCCATTCACAAAGCGCGAGCGCAAGTCCACGCCGTTCTTCGGGTTGGAGGATCGCATGCCAATTCTGTTGGCCCTGATTTTGGGTAAATTCCAACGTTACACTCGACAACTTTTGAGCCGGGACTGATGCAAAAAACAGGTCTTCAGCATGCTCTTTCCATGTTGGCTGGTGGTGAGTTTGATATTGACACACTCAGACATCTAGATGTAGATGGTATCACGAACACCAGGCTAACCTCTAAAATGCAGTCATCTCACCACCCATTATCCTCGGTGGATCCTCGGGTGTCAACTTTGGTGATGATATCTATCAATATCTCGTGTCGACCTCCTTGATCGTGTCGGGCCTGTTGAGTGCAATGCAAATGGCCCGTTTCCACGTCTACGGCACGAAGTACTACGTGGGTACAGGACTGCTGTCCGTGGTCGGTACGGACATCCCCATTACGCATTCGATCCATATCCACATCTTGATCGATTCAGACTAACACCTCCTCTTCAACAGGAACATCCTTCTCCACCATCACGGTAGCCACCGGCGCCTTCAGCCAAATGTACAAATCCGGCTACTGTCCCCTCGACGCGGACGGAAACCGACTCCCCTGCCCTCAAGGATACGGCGCTCTCCTGGGCACGTCGTGTCTCTGCGCCCTCCTCGAAATCGGCCTCTCCTTCATGAGCAGCCGCATTCTCTCTCGCGTCTTCCCCCCAATGGTCACTGGCCCAACAGTCCTCCTGATCGGCGCCTCGCTCATCAAAACCGGTATGCAAGACTGGGGCGGTGGTTCCTCCTGCGTCCCCGCTTCGTCGACCGCAACTCGACCCATGTGCCCGAGCGCTAGTGCCCCGCACGCACTGCCATGGGGCAGTCCCGAGTTCATCGGGCTGGGCTTCCTCGTCTTTGTGACTATCATTCTCTGTGAGCGATTTGGCCCGCCCATTCTAAAGAGCTGCGCCGTTGTCGTGGGTCTGCTGGTTGGCTCTATCGTTGCGGCTGCGTGCAATTACTTCGAGACGTCCGGCATCGCTTCAGCCCCCGTTGCTTCCTTCGCATGGGTGCACACCTTCCCCTTGTCCATCTACCCACCACTCATCCTACCCTTGCTGGCATTGTACCTGGTCATCATGATGGAGTCGATCGGTGATATCACGGCGACCTGCGATGTCTCCCGCCTAGCAGTGGAGGGACCGACCTTCGACTCGCGGATCCAGGGCGGCGTCCTCGGCAACGGTATTACCTGCCTCGTAGCGGGCCTAATGACCATCAGCCCCATGTCCGTCTTCGCCCAGAACAACGGCGTCATCGCATTGACCAAGTGCGCCAACCGCACCGCCGGTTTCTGCTGCTGCTTCTTCCTCGTCATCATGGGCATATTCTCCAAATTCGCCGCCGCGCTGGTCGCCATTCCCTCCGCCGTACTGGGCGGCATGACAACCTTCCTCTTCAGCAGTGTCGCCATCTCCGGTATCCGCATTATCTCCACGATCGATTTCACCCGCCGCAATCGGTTCATTCTCACCGCGACTTTCTCTCTCGGTATGGGTATCACGCTCGTACCCGATTGGTGGGCGTACGTGTTCTCCTACAGTGGAGACAACCATGCATTGGAGGGACTGTTGAATGCCGTGGACCTGGTGATGGAGAATGGATTTGCGGTTTGCGCTCTCTTGGGCGTGTTTTTGAACCTGGTCCTTCCCGAGGAACCGGATGAGGTCCCTGCGGTATATAACGCGGCCGAGTCGGAGGATGGCCAGACTCAGACCGTTACTCCTGAGCAGGGCTCTTCGGGCAAGAGGGAGTAGGTGATGACGATATGGGCTGTTTGTTTTTACGTTGGCCATGTGATACCATAGTTTCTTTCTAGCGTTGTTGTTTATCATACCTTATTTCAAATTGAATCGTAACTTTGATGAATCTTGCTTATACCAGTGTAAATGAATAATGATCCATATATTCAGAAATTGAGACAAGGCTATCCTTATCTTGGAAGGTTGGTTGGTAGGCCCATAAATATCTGTGGAAGAGGGCCAGCAGCAATATAAAGCATAAGATAAACTCATGGCTTTGGCGGGCCCATCCTTATATCAAAATGTAAAATACATGGAAAGTCTGGATATGTGTAGCATCAAGATCAAGCATCCAAGACAAAAACAGACCCGGTTTTCAGAAAACAATAATCAATGTTTGCTATGCAAACTCCTTTCCCCATGCAATCCCCCTCACTCCTTGTCTTTCAGTTTAGTGTCCTCCCCCTCAACCAACCCACCCCCTGTGGCCTAGTCGGTAACCGTAACTCACCCTGGGTGCTGCCAGACCGCACCCCTTACACGGGGTATCAGGGTTACGGGGCTAGTTCCCCTGGCGTCTTGGAGCGGATCTTCGGAGAAGCTTACTCGACGTACCTTGTTGGATTGATTCCTCGCTGTGGGGCCTAATGAAGGGTACTTGGGTCTGGGTCTTCGGGCTCAACTGGGAATTTTTTTTTTCTTTTCATTTTACGAGTAGTTGTGGTAGTGTTGCTGTTGGGACTTGTTGATGGTAAGGACGCGGGGGGGGCACAAGGATGATGCTATTCAGACCTGGAATCTGGGAAGTGATGAGATGATGTGCGAGAAAAACAAATTTCGGGTTGACGGTTCGATTCCAGATGTTGGCAGTCTAATTTGTTGTCAGATCAAGAGGATGACCTCGTTCTTTGTATCCCAGGAAACTTCTATTGAGCTATTGTACATCTATACAGGCTAGTCATTCTATCATACACCCTCAACCTTCTCTCCAGGCGCCAGCATCTTAATATACTGATGCTCCCCCATCTCCAAAACCCGCACCTCGTCACCAACAGCGAGAGAACATTTCTCAACAGCAGGCACGAGCTGCAACCCCAAGCACGCATTCGTCCGATCACCTGGGTCAACCCGACGATACGACTTCAACGTCCGATCCGGCTCTGTCTTATGCCGATCTCCGGTATCAGGATCTACATTCGGCAGTCGACATCTGACAGTGCGACAAGCGGCATATATCTCCGTCTCCCCAATCATCATCCTCTTCCACTGATCCTCAGCAAAAGCCTCGGGGCCCTGGACGATGATATTCGCACGGAACCGTCTAATACTCAAGCGTGGGATTGGCTCTGCACATCGTGCAGCGACATCCCGATGACTGGCGATATTGAGGAGATGGATCGGGTATGCGTCTGCAAAAGCAGTGTTGGGCTGGAAGCCGATTTGCTCGTTGCGAGGTGCATTACGGAAAATCTCCCGGTTGTGCGATGGATGGGCACGGAAGAGACTCAGAGGGGACTTTGAGGGATCAAAGCCCAAGTAGGTGTGCAGCGAAGGTGGAAGAAGACTGCCGTAGTTGTAGGCGAGAGGCTTGTCTTTCCAGATTCTGACCGGAGCGACTGGATACTTGCTGTTCTTGGACGGAACGAGGGGAACCTGGAACGAACAGCGAGACTTGAGGAGGCGGATTGCCATGGTGAATTTGACGATCATCCCCAAAGGACCTGGTGGTGCGACTCGCGGATATGAAACGATCATCACGCCGTCCGACTGCATCTCCGGCCGACGGTCGTCATAGTCTGGTGAGGAAGGGTCGGGAACCCAGACTTCCGTGTGAATCAAAGCCATACGTTGGAAGCCGGCATTGCGGAGAGTACGACAATTCCATCCAGCGTCCGTCTCCTCAGCAAACGCGAATTGGCGATCGTATTTGAGGCCCGTACCTACGACATCGGAAGTTTGTAGTTCGATGCCGCCGCATGATTTTAGCGGATAGGTGAAGAGTGCTTTGACGCGCCATGAGGGGGAACCATTTTCTTCTTTCTGATCACTGGGTACACCCTCGTTGTATTTGGAATCATATTCATCGGCCAGATTGCTCTGTCCCGGAGAAAGACCCAGTCGCCGGCAACCTTTGGGCTGTTGATCTGGAGAGACGTGCACCAGCGCTAGCAGGGGAAACACGCCAATGACCACGATCCAAAGGAGACCAAAAAAGAAAAATGCCCCGAGGGACGAGGCCTCGGGGGTCCCACTCGTAGAAGACATCTGAACGTCTCAAGATTATGAAGAGCCGTGACGGGAGTATAACACAAGCTGCAAAGTTCAGGCCGAGCCTCGATTTTTCCGATGCGTCGCCACGGGACCCACTCCGATCGATCCACGGAATCTCCCCGCGACCGTCCCGAGCAGCATTACAGGGCGATAGCCACGAGGACTGGCAACTGGCAATTTGCAACGGGCAACTGGTGATTGGATGATGTCCTAGCAGATCAGAGTCACTACTCGAACATGTCACATACGTACACCCGTTGTTTTCGACCGATGCGCTAGCGATGAGCATCAACAAGGACCTGCTCGGCCTCGATAGCCCCGACACGCGTAAGTCGTCACTCTGCCAGAGACGCGTTTAGCAACTCCAACTAATTCGTAAATCAAGTTCCCGTGATCTCGATATCAGCCTCGCAGTCATTGAACGCGTCGGCTACTCTGAGAGAACCAATATCCACAGGACTTGCGCGTCTAGATCAGGCTCTAGATGACTCGGCTGCCGACCAACGCAGCTCTGGTGGGATCCTTCGTGGCCAGGTCACGGAGGTCTTTGGGCCACCGGGAGTAGGGAAAACATCTCTAGCGTGAGTTTCTTTCTTCATGAATACACGAAACAAGGATTAACCCTTGAAACAGACTAAGCGTTGCATCTCATGCACTCCGCGATGGCGGAAAAGTCATCTGGATCGGTAGGACATTTTCTGCCGTACCAGTTTAATCTCAGTTCGACACAAAAAAACTGACCAAACCTAGACACGGGCTCACCAATCCCAATATCCCGACTCAAATGCATGACCCCAGAACTGGACAATCTAATCTACTTCCGGGCCCCAACACTCCCACACCTCCTATCTCTCCTCATCCGCCCACCAAAGGGCTTCCCACCCGCGGAAACAAGCCTCTTAGTGATCGACTCAATCTCCTCCCTCTTCCCAGGCTACTTCCTCAGCGCTGCAGAACTCAAAGACCGACTCGCCCAAGGCAAAATCACCGACAAATCCCAACTGCAGTGGTTACTGAACCGCAAGTGGAACGTCATCAGCGATGTCGCCACGCATCTAACGCGTCTCGCCGCGCGGAACATCGCCATTCTAGCCTTGAACCAGACGCACACTAAAATCAAGGGCCAGCCGCGCGCGACGTTGCATCCGGTCGTGGCGGGTGGTGCGTGGGAGACGAACGTCCAGACGCGGATTGTGCTGTATCGGGATCTACCCGACATGCGGTTTGCGGAGATTACGAAGAGAGCGGGGAGGACGCTGCCTGTGCGGTTGATGGAGTTGATCGTTCCGTTTGTTATTGGCTCGGATGGTCTCAATGAAGTGGAGGAACCGAAGACTCCCGAAGTCCTTGAACCGACGCCTAGTCGTAAGCGCAAGGCAGAGAAGGAAGTTGCGGATAGTCAAGATGAAGACTCGGAAGCAGAATACGAATGGATGGGCGAGGCCTTGCTGGATGATAGTTGATCTTCCAGTGCAAGAGGAAGCGAGAAAGACCGAACACGAACAAACTCCAGAAGAAATGGATATAACATTATTTATTCTCATGATCATGATCATCTACCATGAAATCCTGGACCAACTTCCATAAAATCCTTTCCCTCCACAATCTTTGCTCCATCCGGCGTGGATAATACCTCCTTCGACTCCGGGGTACAAGGCAAATCATCCTTCCGGTCCGGCGTCTCCGGCGGACGCTGGACCGAACAAAGCGGCAGGGTATCCGCCATAGCTAGAGAAATAGGATGCCGCGAGCCCTGTATCAGATCCACCAATCTGCCCAACACGGCAAATTCCAACTTCAATTTGAGCGAGTACACAAACCCCTTGAGCGTGATCTGGACGGCATAAAGATTCGCATATTCAAGACCCAGCAACAACACATCCATCGCGATAATAGCACAATTGATCCCGATGAGTTGGTACATAATCGACCTCGCATCCGGTCTGGCCGTAACGTCCGCACCGAGACGAAGCAATTTCACAGCTTCAATAACATACAACGTCCCCAGGAGGGATTCCTGGATGGTAAATCCCGTAAGCTGAATTTTCTCCATGATATTGTACCCCTTGATCCAGGCGATATCACCGGTATGCACGATATTCGCGCCATACGTCAGAACGGTTGTCGGGATATGCAAAAGAAAGAAATTGGCCACGATCAACCACAACACGCGGCGCAGGATCTTTTCATCCCGCAACACCAAATGAAGGCGCGAGTACAGCACGATCGATTGGCCCGTCACCATCGTCCACCAGCCCACCGTCAACACGGTGACTGATAAAACGGAGTCGGCCTGGGTAAAGAATTTCATCAAGAAGCCGATCGAGTATGGGACGACGCCTAGACAGCCCGAGGCGAGGAGGGACCAGAAATAGAGACCGCGCCAACGGCGGAATGTCGACGGGACGAGGACGACTAGTTCGGCGACGTTGTAGCATGACAGCCCGATGAATGTGACTAGGATCATTTGGAGGACGTCGCCTTCTGCCGCCAGTGCGCCGGAGATACCATCCAGCAGGTCCTGGGGTGGATCGGACATGATTATGGTGAACACAGGGTGATGATGACTCGGCTTGGTGGGGAACAGTGGCCGAGAGCAAATGCCACAACGTAGAGATCTGCGAGGTCTGCGAAGCAGATGCAGAGGGTGGACTTTGTGTATGAGGGGTATATACCTCGGATTGACAAGGTAAAACGGGGACTGCGAGAGCCACGTTCACCCGGTTTGATACGCGAACATATCTCTTGAGTAGAACACAGCAAAGGGCGAGAAGCGAAAATACATAAACGAAGGAGGATAGCGGCGCGTCAATGACAAGGAGGGGACTGGAATAGTTGGGTAGAAAAAAAACAGAGCCAAGTCGGGATCTCAATGCCAGCCGCTTTGTGTGTTGCACAGCGTAAATCCTGGACGATGCCGTGCAGGCAAGGACAAGACAGGGAATGAGTGTGTATAGTGGGAAGTAGTTTGTGGGAGAAAGAAAAAAAGAGAGAGGAAAGATCAGGCAAGTCTGCACCTGAAAAGACAAGACCCAGTCCTTCAAAAAAAGGCGAGCCAATCAAGAAAACCCGAATAGGATCCCAAGGCCAGAAGAGTACAGTTTAAATGCAAGATGCAACCCGGACCCCCCCCCCCCCCCCCCCCCCCCCCCCCCCCCCCCCCCTGTCACGCACGTAAAAGCAGCGGGGAACGGGAAATCCCGATTGAATCCACCCTCGAAAATCCAGCACGGGCCTGGCAGACGAGGAAAAGACCGGACTAGAACCAGGAAAAAGGAAAAAGGGCAACAAAAGCAGCGAGCCAAAAGACTGCCCTCTTTTCTGAGACACCCTTTTAAGTTTGCACCAAGGACAGGAACGGGGAACAGGACTCACCAGCTAGCAGCCCCTAGCGAGTTCCGCGGGCCAAAATCCCGGGGTATGATCGGCGCCAGAGCCAACGCCATTGTTCAATAGTCCGACATTGGCGATGGGGAGGGCCCCCCTTAGTTAGTGACTTGCTAGCATGTGCCTCGGGGTGAGTATTCCTGTTGAAGGAGACTTTATACTCTTCTGGTCTAGAATGTGGTGTAAATAGGTATGAACCATGGATGGAAGAGACTTGGCTGGGTTGGTTGAAAGGGGGTAGTAAGCTTTGCGGGTTTCCGTAAGAGCCGGCTCCGTTTCGTTCGATTGGGTACTCGATTACTCTACGACAGACGGGTATACGAGAACTAGGGCTTGGAATAACCGACAGGCAATAGGCATGTCATACTGTTAGAAAAGAATTATGACAGGAAGGTCACAGACCACCTTGCGCACCCCGAAAGGTGGTCCGTTACTCCTATTGTCCACCAAACAAAGCAAAAGTTCAGCCCCAATGCCATTGAATCGAGATCACGTCCGTGCCGTGACGGGGTGGGGACACCGAGATGCTGTGTGGAAATACTGAACACGATTGAGTACGTTCGGTGGTCGCAGTCCATGTGCAAGGCTACGCAAGTACCCGTCCTGCCGTGGCTGTCCTTGAAATCGATTCGTTGTCGACTACACCGCACTTAGCATCCCCCCCCCCAGGTAGACAGTTCAAACTAAAAACAGTGCACAAGGGCAAACCACAATTACAATAAAAAGCATGAGAAAAAAAAGGGGTGTCATTCGAGTCTAGTTCATACTCAGGGCCGGATTAAGCACTTCTCTTTCCCTCCCTTTATAGATTGGTCAGATAGTCCTCAATCTGCTCCTTGGTCAACTTCCTGAACCGCGGGCCTTGAGCGCCCTCCACACCCTCGTAGCCCAGCAGGTGATCCGCAGGTGGGCCCACAATACCTAAGAAGCAAAAGACTGTCAGTAAACCTATCGTACCCAGCACGTCAACGCAGACTCACCAATCTCTATTGTGTCCCCGTTCATCTCACCCTCGATAGTCTCCTTGAGCGTCAACAGCGCAATGTGGATCGCATCCTCCAGCTCCAACCCCTCGGTGTACCGCTTCTCCAAGAAAGTCTTGGCACTCGTCGCATGCTTGCCAATGGCCGTCGCCTTCCACGGGTAATAGCTGCCGCTAGGATCAACCTGGTACAGACTGGGACCGCCCTTAAGGATTCCACCCGTCTTGCCGGCAGGTTTAGCAGGCGAGTCGGAGTCCTTCTTCACATCGACCGCCTCGGGCTCAACACCCTCATCCCAGCCCGCGACCAACAGACTGACACCGTATGGCCGCACACCACCAGACTGCGTGGCCTCCTGCACCACCCGGGCAACGTCCTGCACCAGTATCCGCGTCGGCGGGTATTCGTTGTAGATGCGTTTGTAGCCCGTGTGGGAGACCTTGCGGGCCTTGTCGACCAACACGCGATAGTCGGGGCCCATGCCGGCGTAGACCATGCCGATGTCCGGAGTGATCAGGGAGATCTTGGAGAGCGAGGGAGGATCGATGAGCGGCGAGGAGGATTTCTTTTCGGTGGCGAGGACAATTCCATTGGTGGCTGAGAGAAGTGGGTTAGTATGAGCACTGAATAGAGGGCGTGTTGGATGGATCGTTGAACTTTCGTTTCCTCAATCTCCGGTTCTCTGGTTCTTACCTTTGATGCCCAGGGCCGTGACACCCTGGTTGACCGCATTTAGAGCATACTCTAGATGAAGCTTATCAGTAAAGTTGATTCCAAAGATAGACATCACATTTCGAGATCAATGTCTTTGGTGCTTACCAATCTGCACCAGCTTTCCACTGTAAGACGATGAGAGTTAGCTTCCTGAGCAACGGGGCTTGGGATCAACAAGCTTCGGAACGTACCTGGGCGAGAACGTAGTCAGGGAGAAGGAGTAGCGGTCCGCCATGATATGATACTATTATCTTAAAGCACAGCTTGAAAGGACCGCAGATTCAAATGATGGCGGGAAAAGGAGGAAGGGTAAAGTGCGGATGGAGCTGTAGGCAGAAGACGGGTGACGTTTGACGCGGTAGAGCTCGGCCATCGCAGCTGTGCTGTGGACAAGGCCAAGGCGGTGAGTCCAATGCGGATTAGTGGCCACATAAATTGTTGCGTTTCTTTTCCCTCTTTTCCCTTCGTTTCTTTCCATCAGATCTACAAGACTCGGGTTTAATGACATGACCCCGTCTACAATTACCTCTCATGGACTCCCCGAGCAATGAGTCGGCCTCGCCGGGGTATACGGCCGAGACTCCCCCTCCCCCAGAGCCCGAGCAGAGCTATTACCCCCCGCGAGTCTGTCGCATCTGCCTCGACACGGTCCTGCCCACCGTGCAGCCGTCTGAATTTCTTCAAAAGCCCCGCGTGGTCTACGAGTCTACCGACCCCGAGCTAGGCCGACTGCTCCGTCCCTGCAAATGCAAAGGCTCCTCGCGACATGTACACGAAGGATGTCTCCAGACATGGCGGCACGCGGATCCCAGATATGGCCGGCGGAATTACTGGCAATGCCCAACCTGTGGCTTTCAGTACCGGCTGGAGCGGCTTACTTGGGCTCGGTGGATCAGTAGCTCCGGCACTCAGATTCTACTTACCATTGGCGTGCTTCTTTTGACTATGTTTCTACTTGGATTTGTTGCTGACCCTATCATTGAATTTTTCCTCGTCGATTTAGACGACCTCCCTTTAGAAGTGGAGGATCTTCACACATCACAGGCATCGTGGGTGGCGCATTTCATCAAGGGACTTGCCTCTCTTGGACTCTTGTCCTTCTTCCGGGTCATGTTTATGATGTCGCCGTGGAATCTCCGTGTTGCAACGGGAGGAGGTCGGTCCTCTAGCCGGGATCGGATGCGTTGGCTGATGATCGTGATTGGCGTGGGCACTTTTCTTTGGGTATGTTGGAAAGGAGAGACACTTTGTCCATCTCTCTACTTTTGCTAACCAAGTTGCCAGGCTGTCTACAAGGGCGTTCGATCATGGAGCAAACGCACACTAGAAAAAGCTGGCGAAAGAGTCATGGACGTCCCTTTACCAGACGACGAGGATGACGATGCTGTCATGCCTCAAACTCATACCAATGATCATTCCAAGACCGATTAACTTGTTTTTACTGTTTTGCTTTTTTACACCCTCGACTCGCACTACTTTAAGTTGCCGTGCTCCTTTCCATGACACGCTGATTAGTCACTGTGCGAAGAACGATTCTCGACCTTCATTAACTCTCGGCTGTTCTGTCTGAGACTCTTTGTCGATGGCCTCTGGAGCGTTTTGTTCCATGTCGTTGACTACTTGTCGCTAATCAGATGGACTTTGAGGGGAAGGCAGAACCATGCCTCGATTAGCAAACGGGAAGCATCCATGATGCTACGCACTCTGTTTGACATTATGTTTTACGTTGTGTGCTGCATTATTTTCTACGCGCTTCTGGGAAATCGAGGAATGGTACATCTTCATGTTCCGTATTCATAGGGGAAGCGTTCACCATCCAGCGTTTATCTGAACTCTCACTTTCCATTTATACCCCACGACTCACGTTGCCAGAACTTGTCCACTTAGGCAGATAATCAACTCTTCTCTTCTCTTCTGTTTCTCTCCCTTAACTCTCCCTTTCTCCACACGTTGAACCCTCTTCCATTTCATCTTTCCTTCTCATACCGTAGCTCTTCATTCCTGCTACTCAGCAAACACCACTCACCATGTCAGACACCAAGCATCCTCTCTCCCTGCTGGATGCAGTCCGCTCCCAACTCACCATTGACTCTGACTCGGAAGACTCGCAGAGCACCGTCGTCAACATCACTCACGAAGATACCCGGACTGACCCCACGGACACGCCCCTCGACCAAAGCACATCCACGAACCCGAGCCTCGTCCTGATCCAAAGCCCCAACGACCGAGAGCCCTTTCCAGATTTCGACGGGGAGCTCGCCGAGGTCTACAAAGAGTGCGATCGTGAGTACACTGAGGCCATCATAGCAGCCGTGCACGCGCAGATCCGCAAGAAAGAGATCGACCCGCTCATCATCGCGCCACCGGGCCAACCAGAGGGGAAGCGCGTGGCCCTGGAACGCATAAGGGACCTCCTGGCGACCCCGCAGATGCGCAAGACCACTCGCAAGCGCTTCGTTGTCCTCACTAATTTGATCATCCGTCTGGACCATGTCCTCTTCCGACGCAGCGAGGTGTTCCTGGGCCCGCGGGACACTGCCGATGCTGCGGCGATTGTCAAGCAGATGCTGCCGTATTTGCAGTGGGCCGACAACATGTTGCGGGAGCTGGTCGTCGTGGCTGACAATGTCTTTGGGATTATGGGATACCTTGCGGAGGAGGACTGTTCGGTCATTCACAAATATCGGCACATGTCGATTGTGGCAGTGGCGTAAGTGATTTGCCTTGACATGGCCCCGGTAGATGCGAGTCGTCTAACTCACATTGATATCCGGCCAGCCATCTCCGCAAGCCCCGTTTACTGGAGCAGCGCCTTCTCTCGTTGTACCTCGAGCTCTACGATGAGTGGATCCACAATCGCTTCCTCCACATGAGCAACCGTATGATCATGAGAGAGGATCAGATTGAACCGGCGTGCCTGGCCTTGACTGGCCACCTGCATGAGATCTGGGAGATCCTGTCGCGGTCCGTGGACAACTACGCCACATACCGCGTACGATTAGCCGACATTCGCAACGAATATATCGTGCCAATCCAGGAGATGGTCGAGTTGCCCAACGAGCCGGATGTAGAAGATTTTGTTGTGGAGGAGCTCCCGCCCATTGAACTCAACTAGGGAGCTAATGACGGACCAGTCAACGACCCCCTACACTCTTACACCCTTCTTACGAAACTCACGATTAACGAACGATACCCTGATACAGTTGACGAAGCAGCGCAATCTCAATCATATCGTCATATGCCATAGGCTTTCATATCAATCAGTGCTAACGAGACAATAACTGATTTCTTAAACTGCACCATTCGCTTCCAAATCTCTCAACCCATAAAACCTCCCCTAAGCATTGCTATCCTTATACTCCTTCAACTTGAACAACTTCTTCGCATTCTCCCTCCCAATCTTCAACCGATCCGTCTCATTAATCGCCAGCGCATCAAACCACTCACAGGCATCCTCAAACGTCTCGAACGGATAATCAATACTAAACAAAATCCGATCCGCCCCAACCTCCGCCAAGCAAAAGTTGAGCGTCGTCGTCGAGAAATGGCCGGAAGTCGTAATCCACAGATTCTGCGCGAAATACTCCCGGATCGTCTTCTTACACGTCTCCCGCAGACCGAGCAGCTTCTTCCGATCCTCGAACCAGTGGTTAATTCTCCACATGTCGAAGGGGATATGTTCGCCCAGATGGCCGAGGATGACTTGCAGCTTTGGGTGGCGGTCGAAGACACCGTTCGTTACCATGCCGAGGGCGTGTAGGGAGACGCCGTGGGCGAAGGAGAGGGGGGGACCGAGGAGCCATTTGCGGTCTGCCCAAAGCTTGTCGTAGATTGTGCCTGTGGGGTTGCGGGGGTGGAGGTAGAGGGGTACGTCTAGCTCTGTGCAGGTAGACCAGAAGACGTCCCATTTTTCGTTGTCGTAGAAGATCATGTCGTCGCCGTCGGACCCGGCTCTTTGTGTGTCGTTGACCAGGGCGCCCAGGAAGCCGTACTGGGTTACGCAGCGGCGGAGTTCGTCCGCGGCTTCTTGGGGATCGTGCATGGATAGAGTGCTAGAAGCGATGATAAGATTAGAATTTCGGTTCTTGCGCGATACGAATATTGAGAGGATGTTTGTGTTGGGTATCACTCACGCAAAAGCCGCAAACCGATCGGGATGCGCCTTTACCTTCTCCGCGATATAGTCGTTGATTTCAACGGCGAGTTTCTGCGCATCGACCGGATCCCAGATATCCTGTACACCGGGCGCGGTATAAGAAAGAATCTGCAATCCGACCCCATGCTTCTCGGCAAAGTTCAATCGGATAGAATCGACATCCGTGATCTCGGCGACGTGCTTATCGACGTCAGTCGCGAACAGACCGGCCCACCAGCGAGTCTTTTCCTGGAACCGTGGCAGCGCAAAGGCTTCTTCGAGGGCGATTTTTCCCAACATGATGTGCTTTGTGGTAGATGGGGTATGTACGAAGGTGAAGAGGTTGGGAGAGAAGGAGACAGATTCGTGACACAGTTGGAGAAAAGAGAGTCGAATGACCGGTTTATATGATTTCCCCTCGCCTTGCCCCGCACTTTACTTTTCGGGAATCGGCAAGGGAATTGGGTCAGCTTGCCATTTGCTCTTCGCTGCTACCATGGCGAGCCAAGTTTAACCTGGAACAAAGGTACGAGAGAGCTCGTCGGAAGCTCAGAAATCGGAAGCGTGTAATGTACTACGTAGAATACTGTTGCAGCCGACGGGGGCGCGGACCGCGACCTCCTCCGCATTTGGGCGGGGCGGATCGGCTCGGCATTTGGAGGGGGGGGAGTGGGGCATTCGATCCGACGGCGGCGCTTGCTAGTGCACTCCTGCAGGATGAGCTAAGTCGAGCTAATATGGGCAGGAAATGTACAAGAAATAATTCATACTCTGCCGTAGGGACTGAAGAAAGAACTGGCGGGAAAGACTCGGATAGATAAATTGAGGGTTGGATCGTCTCCTTCCATATTCCATAGACGAGGCGTTCCAGTTTCGGAGATATTGGTTCGACAGATGACAGATGATAGTCTGTGAAAATACCATCTGGGTTATTAAGCTCATGACTTATCGATGTCAGTTGGGAGCAACATCAGTATCTTATGTTTTGGTCATCACCTCAATCGAGGTCGACATTTTTCCCGGTGGGCACTGAGAATGTATAGAGTCTATATCTCCGAGATTCATCCCATGAGTCTATTCTAACATGTCGGTTGATTCACTCAAAACAGTTCTATCATTCATCTTTCAAATCGTTTCATTCCCACTACGACAACCCCGAGGTAGCACAATCAGCCCCCCACGAATGCGAATTTGAACTATGAGAATGCACCAGAGAAACCAACATGCCCAGCACGGCAAACTCAAGCTTCAGCTTGATGCTATAAAGCATGGGCTTCAGTTCAATCTGGGTAAAGTATAAACCCAGATGCTGCAAGATGACAATCGACAAATCCATTAGAATAGCCGCAATATTGATAGCCAACAGCTCATACAAAATCTTATGTCGACGCGCATCCAACTCGGGATTCAATCGAATCAGTCGTATCGTATCGACGATATAAATAGTCGAGATAAATACCTCCTGAGCCGCAAACCAAATCACCTGGATTCTTTCTATAGCGTCAAATCCATCCACCCATCCAGCGGACTCCGGGACATAGCTCGAGCCTATATTCAACGTAACGGTGGGGATGGCGATCGCAACGTAACAAAATACGATCAACCACCGCACAAAAGCCAACACGATCTGATTCTGCGAGACCAGGTGAAGTCGCGAGTAGAGCACGATGGATTGATTCGGAACGAGAAAGATGAATCCGAAATTCGAGAGAAACATGCTCAGCCATAACGGTGCTCGATTAAAGTACTGCAGGCCCTGACCAATCGTTTGGGGTATCACGCCTAGCACGGCGGAGGTCAACAGTGCCCAGAAATAGAGACTCCGGTAGCTATGGAAGCTTAGCGGGATAAGCACTGAAAGCTCCAAGGCATTATACAGGGCGATTGCCATGAACACGATCATGCTGATGCCCACCGTGGCATTGCCGAAACCCGAGGTGAGGACCTGGTCCATCGATGCAACCTGCTCGGCATCGGACATGATTAAAGAAGGGCTGCAATAGTCGTGCGCGTGGCAATGGACACATCGGTCGGCATGGTGCACAGAGTGGAGTACGCGCTTGACACGGGCGACCGCGTGGAGGAAGACTGGGCGAGGGACATGGGGTGGCGGGCTTCGCTATATAGAATTTTTGCGGGGTAATAGGGCAGAACAGTTAAAGAGTAAAGTTTTTCTCGAGGGGTCGGGATACTCACTTCTGGCTGGGTAGATTGGTAGGGGAGATGATTTCCCGGAAGTCTAAACGCAGGCGTTTAAGTCTCGATGTAGATGTTGGTTCCGTGGATCAATGAGTTTCTGTAGCGTGGCTTGAATTTTAATATGGTTAGTTTGGGCACTCTTCGCGTGCAATTTCTCACGTTATTCCTGCCGAAGATTGGGTGGGCTCTTGGACGTGAGTTTAGTGTGAACAAATCAGCTACCACGAGTGGCAGATCACTCAACATGTCCCGCGTCAGCTATTTTCGTGGCAAACCAATAGTTGTGGGGATCATAGGTTTTGCTTAGCAATGGAATGGTTCTGGAAGGGTTGGAATCTTTGTTACACAAAGCTCGTTCCTGCAGAAAGACCATAAAAGGACAGAGTATGTAGTAGATGATTAAGATGAGAGAAAATCCCCACCTCTAGGTTTCGGGGGCAGCTTAATCAATCACTTTGAGTAACGAGTCGCGTGACCGCGGGGGCCCTAAGGGTGTTGATTGTACAGGCACTATACTACACTTGGCGTTATTGTATGCTCTCTTTACAGTAAAAGAAGATGATAAATCTTGATGATTGACGTAATAACCACTGCCAAATGCTTCTGCTTTGTTTATTCAGGCCTCTACCGATCATACCAGCACTCGCTTTTTTCCCAAAACAGGCAGTATTGTTCTCCTGTCAGTAGCTTGCTCAATACTTTGTTATTCCCTCCTGCTTTCTCTCATCCACGCACCTCTCATCCACGCACCTCTCTTCCACGCACCTCTCATCCTTCCCCCCCCTATGATATCGACTAAGACCGTTAAGATGGAGAATTTTGAAGAGTAAGAAACCCCTTGACATAAATCAACAGCAGCAGCTCACAGTCACAGTATCCTCCGATCTCGAGAATTCCACTTCCTGATAGGACCAGATCGCACAAAGATAACAATTCATGCCGGCCTCGTGAAAAGCCTTTCAGCCCCTCTGTTTGCTCTCATCCACAACGGCCAAATGAGAGAGTCTCTGTCTGGAACTGCTGAGATGGAGGATATTGAAGTGGGGACCTTTGTTGCATTTTGCGAGTTTGGATATCGAGGCAGGTACAAAACACCCTCGCGGACATGCGAGGAGGAAGAGGATGGTGAGTCCCCGACGAAGCAAGAAGGACCAAATCAAAGTGTCAGGATCTCTGATTCACAGTCAGCCCAAATCGACTCGGAAGAAAGTCAATCGGACCGAGAGCAACAGCCCAGCCAGGCGTACATTTTTGAAAGGCCAATCGGCCCTTTTCATATTCCTCCCTCCGGCTGTTCTCCAGAGCGTGAACACTTCGAGCCAAAAGCCGCGTCCACATTTGTCATCAGCCCATCCAGACACCGGTTGCGCCAATTCGAGTTTCTAGAATTTCCTGGCGAGGAGGCCGTCAAGGCACACAATCCAGATTTCCTTGCACATGCGAAGATCTACATGTTTGCGACTCGGTACCTTGTTGACTCACTGAGAGAACAATGCTTGAAGTCACTTCACCGCGACCTCTGCGAATTCACCCTCAATGCACGGAACATGTCTCACTTTCTTGACCTACTCCAGTACACTTTCGAGCATACTGGTCGACAGGAGCCGGGTGGATTTGCTTCCCTGAGAAGAGTAGTCATCGACTATACTTCCTGCAAGGCGAAGTATTTGGTCAAAAGTGCTCGATTTCGGCAAATTCTGGATACGTTTGGAGAAATCGGTTCCGATCTTGTTGCAAAACTGGTTCAGTGAAAGGCTTTCAAGAGATTGGACAGTCAGGGGAGCAAGTCGGCAATATGGTTACCTGACCACTTCTCTCGTTCTCTATTCTCGTTGTTCGAGCAGCTGAAGGTGGTATTGTCGATGGAGCGCAATCGATGCCCTCCCACACAGCTCTACACCCCTACCAGATCTGCACATGGTCGATAACAGTTGATAATGGTTTAATCCATTTTTCTCAATCAAAACTTTCCCTTGGCCTGTATGATAGGAAGTAGTCTTCTTTCTCTTCAGAGAGATTAGTAAGCTCAGGCTAGTGATCTTTGACTGATAGAGACTGGTGATCGAATCCAGGGTGTAGCACCTACAGGATTCCGGAATTTCAAATCGTAAAGATGGAATAAATGATCTCACCTACCATGACTTGAATTCTCGATCGCTGTCAACCTACGAGCTCCTCCCGCAACAACCTCGTTCAAATACTCACTCCCGACCAAACCAGCACTTGACCAACAACTACTGGCTTCAATTTCTGGAATGAGTACATTCAATCATTTATTTCAGTTCACCCAAATATTATGATAAAAGAAACACGTGTCAGCTTGTTATGCTTCGAATCAAAAGACCGGGGCCAAAAAAAACAATCCGGAACCCCCAATTCACGAATCAATCCACAATCGATCCCCCAACCCGCGAGATGTTGATGCTGCTGGCACTCAATCTGAACTGTGGAATACTGCCTTGGCGAGGGATATACCAATAATGGTAGTAGAATATTATACCCCGCCAAGACGAACTGTCTGACATGCGGCTGTCACGTTGTCTAGTCCTGAAAAGGCTAGCCCCCCAGAGAGATGGACCCTAATGACGTTGCTGACCCATAACGACGCATCTATCCTCTCGACAGTAACAAAACATCTAAAAAGGCTTTTCATCCCTACCAAGCTATCACACTATTCTCTCCAAATTTAATCCACCATGGGCGACAGTGGTGGGTTCGGATCCGGTTTCGAAGTCGTCACCGCGAGAAATCAAGAAGAACGCAGCAGCGGCCTTGGAAAAGGGTCTCCGCCGCCCTCACATCTGACGAAGATATTATACATACCCCATCATGAAGAGGGTACCTCGCACGTTTCGGTCGCTGAAGTTACTGCCCAGTACAAAGAGAGTGTCAAGGAACGTGGGATGGGATCGGCATCGTACGTCGTGGCGCTTGGACGGATGCCTAAACCTCAAGCGGGTGGGACTGAACCAGCGACCGAGGAGAATGAAGTTCTCTATAATGTCGACTTCAAGGATGCGGCTTTGCACTTGAAATCCGTCGCATCATCTTCATCTGCCGGGTCGCTCGTGGAGGCAAATGTGTATGTTCCAGTCTTCGCCCCCAACATCACCGTAACCAGCTAATGCAACTAATCATAGGACCATGGAATCTGCAGAAAATAAAGCTGCTCTCATCAGGTTGAAGTCCCAAGAGAAAGATTCCGTTGAGAGACCTGAAGACACGGCGATATCAATGTCGATATCCTACCCAATCCCACCAATCTCGATCAGGAAGAGGGTCTACGTGTACCCCTATTTTGCCTTCCAGATTCCCGGGGAAGATAAAACGTACCTTGAATGGCAGATTCACCCTGTCTCGCAAGGACGCTTGCGATATACTCTCGTCCGCGTCCCCCAGAAACATGAGACCGTTGAGGGTGCCGCTCCTAGCATCCCCTTGGACAAAGATTTCTTGGCTGTCTATCACCATGTCGGGGACACAGTCTCGCTTCCACTACCAACCAGCGAGGGTGTTCTACTTATCTCTCCTGATATGAACCCCGAAACTGAGGCTATTGTGGTTGCGAGCGTGCTTGGTTTGCTCTGGCAGTTGCGACAGATAAGCACAACTGGAATACAACCCGGAGCTGACCGCAAGGTTTCTAAATTTATCAAGCGCTTGCTTCACAAGAAGTAGGCTTTTAAGGGTTCAGGGTCAGGCAATGGAGGGAAGACTTTGTTGTGGAGAATAAAGTCCAGAGAGAAACGAAGATGTCTTTGAAAACTTAACGAGAAATGCAGCGGTAAATTTAACGTTCATGGCAACATAAACGGCAATAGATAGGAGGGAGGGGTCAGGGTGTAAGCCTTTTCCTTGCCGGGGATGGTGAAAAAAATCCAGCCTTGATTGAAATATCTCACAGTCAAGGGGGAGCAAAAGTAAAAACATATAACAGCCATACTATGGTGATGCTCACCTAGCGCCCATCGTTCGGTGCTGGGCGGCTTGTCGCCTTACGAAGTTAGCCTTCAGGCCGGTTCGAGCGCATTAGGCGGTAAATCACTTTCCTCAAAAAGGTGCTTAGGTTAGTACGTTTTAATTAAGGGAAAGATTTCGCGATGCGGGGAGCAGACCATATATTTTCCCCTCCTAGGCAGTTACCGCTAGTTACCCTCGCCCTTTCCCGCTTCCTTTCCACTTCACCCCTGTGCATCCGCCGTTTCCCTCTTACTATAAGACGAAGGTAACCATAAAGAATAAAGACCCACTAGCCTGTGTGTATTATATAGTAAAACCTAGGCGATTTCGATAACGCTTAAATTAGTTAGGTAGACCTATTACGTATAGAGAGTGACCATAAGTGATTGGAATCGTCGGGATTGCCCGTGCTGAAGTGACAGCTTTTGCTGGAGACGTCAAAAGCGCGTTTCATCAAAATTATAAAATAGGTTGGTCTGGTTTTACTAGTAAGTTCAGAGAAGTATGACTGCCTCCCGGTCCATCTTGAGACGAGATAGACCTTTCCGAGCCGTTGCACCTTTGATCGATTCTGTGTTTGTGAATGCTGCCAGAAGCCTGATGAGAGAAATCCACGATTTTCCGCGCTCGTCATTATCAGCGCGGTTATCCCAGTTGATATGGAGTGCATGATGCCGCGCGAGTGGACCATTGAGATCTTGCAGATCATCATGTCACTCCCGTACAAGAGCAGCGACAGTAGGGAAGTGGTTTCCGATGACTGCCATATCAAGGGGCGTCTTTCCATATCTTTACGATTCACATTGAATCCGATATCAACCAGCTTCGGAAGAACGTCTGATACACCGTTCATGGCCAGTCAGTACAATAAGGTACGTCCTGTATCGGGAATCATGGTCAAGCGATCATTTTGTCATCCGCAGCGCTGCGGCGAAGAGGCCGCGTTGCTGCTGAGGATTTGGGAAATCAGCAAACTGTTCCAGTAACTCAGATCTGTATTCATGCATGAAATCTGCCAGGTTTGGCTCCATTGCAATGTTCAGAACTTGTCCCGGGCCCTGGCTCGGCGACTGTTCTAATAATTGCCTCATCTTGCCGAATTGCAAATTGCGAGCTCCAAGCATTGTCGCCACGTTCCAGAATCCGCGACTCGTGCCAATAACCCTGATAATATCTATTTTTCTTCGAGGACTAACAGTGGCAAGCTCAACTCGCGGACTCGAACGGGAGAGTTGTACGGATTAAAAAGATAGCCGGGATTGAGTAGGTAATTCACCCGGTGGCTAGGCAATATCGAGAGAACGTCTCTGGCAAATGCAGCCGCGGCCATTGCTACGTGATCTTGCCATGTTTTATCCTTAGGGAAGTCTGCATAGTCGCAAATACATCGGATCACAATGCAGATCACAATGCAGGGTAGATCCTTAACAATCTCAGCAGCTTCCATTTCCAGACAGAGTGCGTCCAAAATTGGACCAATTTCGTCCATCTTCCGGCCATACTTAATAACCTGGTTCCTAGAGGCAATTGTGCCAAAGTGAACCATCATCTATTTCTCACGAGGCCCACGCAGTATAACTTTCCTCTTATCGCAGGACTAGCAATCTTCCAAATCAGAATATTGATGATCGTAATCTGCCTCAAAGAGGACATCAACGTCCTGCCTTAGCCGTTAGTAATAACAACTCATATCGGAAGGAATACGCGATGATCCAAACTCCAAATTCTCTGCGATACCGATTTGTCCCATGTTGTACCGGGCCCGAAGAGCGTTAACAGCTATCAGTAGAACCGCCGGAGGCGTTCAGAACGCCACGGTGGACAAGTTTTCCTTCAGCGACGGTCTTCTCATAGTCCCATTATACAAATGCTCCGTATCTGTATCCCGGCACGCCAACTACCTCGCCCTTTAGACAGATGTTGTGCGCTTCACTCGGGACACCTCCTCCGATGCCGACCAGTAACGCGCAACGTAGATCTGGAAAGGATTGTTTTACCTCCTGCGCCACCATCGCTGCAGGTGTTAGACCCATCTCAGGGAGACAAACTAGAGCAACATCCCGAGTATAGATTTAGCCAAGAACATAGGTTTCCGAATCCGCTCGTGATTGCGGTAGCGGTTAGTACGTCTCATCCAGCATAGACGTTGCCGCTGGCAACTCCATCGGCAGCTGGTATATGCAAGAAACTGTATAGCAACCTTGACTGAGACGTATTTTTGGGCGATTCGTCATAATGAATTAGCGTTGTCCTTGCGGCTGCCTGTGGAAGCGGACACAGATGACGCTTCGCCGCGAAGAGGTTCGAAGACTGCGGACCGATGAGATTGGAAGTTCGACTTTTCGGGGAATGTGTGCGTTGTTAGACCAACTGCGGTCACTCATCTCCGTGTCCTCCTTGCTGAATTCAAAGCGCTTCAGTTGAGCCCTCTGAGTTGCCGTTGTGGTATTGCAGGGAGCAATACTGTTTTGAGAGTGGGGTGCAGCCTGTGTGGGGAAAGATAGCGTGTCGGCAAATGCTGGCCCGCTGGGTTTTATAGAGACCGAAGTCATGCAATAAGGCTATTCAGAGTGGTGCATAGGTTGGCCCAAGGGGACATTTCAATCCGTGTTAAACCTTGATTCGGCCCTTCCTTCGTTCCACATTTTCAGCCAGATAAGGATGAACCAATAATGTTGTATCTGAGCTCAGCTGAGAGCGTCAGTGCAACATGTCTATTGCACCCTCACCCTTCTCACCGCTGGTCACACGGGCGGTAAAGGGGGCCCGAAATTACTAGCCAGTATAGAGTAAACAAGGTGATTATATGCGAGCCGTGGTGGTTCGGGCACGGGAGAGCTCGTCAACTGTCGTTATTTACAGGAGAGCGAGCCGGTAGTTACACCTCTTTGGTCAAAATCTCAACTGTATTCTTAGAGAAGAGATAACCAAGATCAGACCAGACCGGAATGATAGTTTCGATAAATCCGTTTTCCGTGGTAAGCTCCGAGCAGGATCAATTCAGGCTCCCGGAAAAGTGCAGACTGAACTACGACACACCGCCTGGCCGCTTTACCTAGGCGGCTTCAGGCGGTAGTTCACCCACCTGAATATTCTTCACCCGAAGCCTACCTAGGGTGACAGGGCAGGTTAGTAAGAAGCCCATTAATCTATTTTGGCACACAAGACTTTGCTAGTGGCTAGCCTAGAGAGCGATAAGAGATTAACTGTGAGGAAGCGCGCGAGGAGCAACTAGCAGCGGTCTTTCACTGTCTATCCATCCCTCTTACCCCACACGCTAGCCCTATAATCAATATTCACCCACCTAATAATCAAGAGTGAGTATCAAACCGCCAGTTTTTCGTCGTGGATTGCGATGACTACAGTATAATTTGCGGACCGAAGCGGAGCAATATGGACGCTTTATTCGGCCATTTCAGTTAACACCACGTGACCCACGTGACGTATGTGTCTTTTTGAGAACCACTCCAGGTTAAACCTTCCACAGTACAACTAACTCTTAAGGTTTATCGTTTATGAGCTCCAGCAAATCAACGTGTACTTGGAGCAATGGAGTAGATTGTCCCATAGAATGGTGTTGCTGGTACGCAGTAGTGTGGTTAATCATTGACATCATATCATACCAAGGCAGATGTCGTGAAGGTCTGACCATTATGACGTTAAATTATGAATCGCAATGTAAATATCGAGTGGAAGACACGATGTTCACAAGGTGATTAGCAAAATTACAATGGACCTAGCAGAAGATGGGGAGTTTTATAAGAAAACACTTCTTTACAAAATCTTTGTCCAACCTTTCTTCATTACACCAAGGACAAACATTATACTCCACTATGCGTACAGCAAAATTTGTTAATGATAATATCACCGTATCGAGCGACTCCGACGTGAAGTTGACACTCTACGATGAGAAAGATCCCGATGACCCTTTAACTTTACTTCTCCCTGGAGAGACAAAGAAAAAATTTACTGGAAGAATTGTTAGTATCGAACCCTGTCAGACCTATTCTACTAGGTCCTGGCAGCTTTCAGAGGACACAGAATTCGATGCTGATAAAGATGTTATTGTGACTGATCAGAGTGAGCAACCTGTACCTAAATATTGATTGAGTGACTACTAATAGCTAAATAAGCGATCGAACAAGAAAACAAGGTTGTTAGGTTTAGTTGAGGGAGTATGTATACGAAAATCTGTTATCTAAAATAGCTATATTACCGTTCCTGAATCGGTTTCATTACTGCTCTCTTTCTCAGTCCCACTTCTAAGTAAGACCTGCGCAGATTTTGTATCGAGCAGACAGACCTTACTCAGTCAAGGGCCGCCGTAAATAGCGGAATGGCCGCAACTTTTGGCTGTCCTTCTCTCGGATGTCTGCCGCTCACTATAAATTGCATCCGAGCACGTTATATTGCTGCATAAGAAGCTGTAATACCCTAGATGGTTTTTTTAGAGATAGGCTGGACTATGCAAAACCAATATTTCCCCGAAGTTCAGCAGCTCCACCATGACTGCCCTTCCGTTATCAGAGTGTCCGAAGCTTCTGCGCGACGGCATCAAGACAGAGCCCTCAAACCTTGTCTGGCAGCCGAAATGGAGATACGCGAGTGCAATGATATGTTCTGTTAAAATAGGGTCTCACGGTGAGGCATATATGCCTTCGTTTCGCTGCCCGCTGTACATATAATGGAGAACGTAGATATGATCCAGAGGTCTCAGCGCTGTCCACCCTTGTAAAGACCGTCGTCGGGATCAAAGCATGCCTAGTTTGTAGAAAATAAAAACCAACTTGGTATATAAGCCTCAAGAAGCTGTTCCTTCCAAAGTTACTCTGTGGGATACCAGAATCTCACTAGGCTTTTTACTCTCCAAGTAATGTCTTTCATCATAGCTGAATCAATTTTTCATTCTTTCAGCCTATTGCCAGCCACAATATCGCGCATCGGTTGGATTCTTCCAGCAATTTCTGATCGAATCCCTCGGCCCGCAGCAGCTCTATTAGTTCCGCATGGCGGTCCTGGCAGCGTTGATCACAAGCAATATTTCAACAACTCTTGAATCTAGACCAGACTAAAAATATCTGGAGGCGTATCTAATTAGTTGGCTAGCCAAAGGGGCGATTACTCAGAGACCCTTGAGTGGTTTCGAGAAAGTGATGATGTGGGTGGGGCATGGGATGCGGGGTAGCTCCTGCGAGCATCGGCCGAATACTTCGGCGTCGGCCTTACACAATGTTTGTTGAGCTGCATTGCTAACCGCCTGGGAAAGAGTCGAGTAATTCGTGAAACTATTCTTGTTGCATTACAGACCTGCCGCATCCAAGGTGATGATGTTCAATCAAAGTTGCGTCCTTAAGGATGTCGACACAGTATCGCGAATCGTGTCAAGAAAGGCTATTGGAAAACAACAGCCGATTCCTCGTTGACTTTAAATTCCAGCCTTCTCTGCACCAGGGGTCTGATTCCAGCGCGTCGCATGGCTATGTTACAACGAGATTCAAGCATTTGGTGACCGAAGACGGCCACGCGGTAATCACAGGAAGAGAGGCGACTTCATTTCAGTATTGTGAGGATGAGCCGATTCACATTCCTGGTGCCATTCAAAGCTTTGGAGTAATGGTCGCGCTACAAGAAGCTGCCAACCAACTTGTGGTCCGTGTGGTGAGCGAGAATTCCTACGAGATCATCGGCTATTCTGCAAAGCAATTATTCGAATTAGAAAGCTTTTGCGACATCCTGTGTATTGATCAGGCGGAGGAGCTATTGAATCATGTAAAGTTTGCTCATGATAATGTTTTGAACCTCAGTGTGGATGGCCCTGAAGTTTTCTCGCTGGCGATTGTAACAACCTTCGGCGAAACGCGTCGCTTTTGGTGTGCTTCGCACATCGTACATGCCCGGAATGATCTCATTATCTGTGAGCTTGAGCTGAAAAATGATAAGATCAACCCACTGAATGGAAATGGAACGAACAATCCGCCTAGCCCAGTCAGCACTCTTGGTTATCTCCCCACTATTGAGCAGTTTGCTGCCAGTACTACAGTGGTCAGTCAGCCACTCCGAATGCTTCGCAGTCTTCGGTATTGCAAGGACGAGGCGGCAGTGGTGGAGGTTTTCAGTCTCTTGACCCAGATTCAGGAGCAATTAGGCTCGATCAGCGACCTTGACACCTTGCTCAACACGGCTACGGGAATTGTCAAGGATATTACAGGATTCCACAAAGTTTTAATCTATCAATATGATGGCATGTGGAATGGCCGTGTTGTTGCTGAATTGGTCGATCCCGCGGCAACCGTTGATCTCTGTAAAGGGCTTCACTTTCCGTCATCCGATATTCCAGCACAGGCCCGCGAGCTATACATGATGAATAAAGTTCGGCTTATCTATGATCGTGGCCAAGAAACATCACGGCTAGTGTGTCGAACACTGGAAGATCTGGAAATACCCTTAGACATGACTCATTCATACCTCCGTGCCGTATCACCTGTTCATATCAAGTATCTCGCCAACATGGAAATACGGTCCTCTATGTCAATCAGCATCACCCTTCGTGACAAGTTATGGGGCTTGATATCATGTCATTCATACGGGAATAAGGGTATACGCGTCGCGTTTCCAATTCGCAAGATGTGTCGTCTATTGAGCGACATAATCTCTAGGAAAATTGAATCTCTTTCAGACGCATCTCAGATCCAAGCTCGAGAGTTATTAAGTACACTCCCTAGCCAAACCAATTTGTCTGGGCATATAATTGCGTCCTTGGATGATTTGATACAGCATTTTGGTGCAGACTACGTCGCTCTCTCTTTATGTGATGGTGATGAAAGGAAAATTGTTGGCGAAGAAACAGACTCGCATGAAGTCCTTGCTATTTTAGCATTTCTCTCCGTGCAGGGACTAAACTCCGTGGTCGCCTCCCATAATATCACTAACGACTTTCATGGGCTACGTTATCCTCCGGGTCTCAATACTATATCGGGAATACTGTATATGCCTTTATCCACCAACGGTAGGGACTTCATCGTCTTCTTCCGCAAGGGTCAACAAGAGGAAATTACCTGGGGAGGCAATCCTTATCCTACCACGAATCGTAAGGAGACAGCAGTCAACTTGGAACCCCGTACCAGCTTTGCAGCATGGCGAGAGACGATTCTGGGTCAATCTCGAGAGTGGTCAAAAGCTGATCTAGAGACGGCCGCCATATTGTGCTTCGTCTACGGAAAATTCCTAAAAGTAAGGCGCCACACAAACTCAGCGATGCAAGACTCCTATATCATCAAGATGTTGCTCGCAAATCCCGCTCTTATATTTCAATCGCCGCTGGATGCAATCATCAACGATCTTGAAATCTCACTCAGAGGTGCTCTCGATGCGGAGACCCGCGAAAGCTTAACAAAGTCGTATCCTGCTTACAGATCTTTGGTTTTTATCATCAACGATCTTTTGGATATGTCCAATACCAAGAAAGTACAGAATCTTGTCTATTCCAGAAGTGAGAAGCACGATTGTGTTGATCTTGGTATCTCTTCGAGCGAATTCGACTTGGGTATACATTCGTGGTGTATCGATATGATCTATGAGCCACCCTCGAAGCTGAAACCTGATCTGCAAGGCTTTTTCCTCGTCGAATGGCAAAGTTTCAGCTTACAAGGTCGAGCAACGTAGGCTTTCACTTGCTCCTGAGAACTTACTCTGAGCTAATGCAGTATCAGAAGCGACATTGGCGGCGTTTGGGTGATGGTCACTGGTCGTCGCCTCAATCAGGCAGGCGGAAAATTGCACGGACTACTGAAGGATTCATTTGTCATTCAATGGATTCGGGATTCCGGAATAATCGGTGGTATATATCTCGTTCGGGCGATGAAGTAGGTTCTAGGGCCCTTAACTTCCTGGTCGAATCTAATCAAAGTCCGCTCCAGCCATACTGAGACAACGGCTAGGCTGTGCTGCAACATGTCTGTCCCTCGCCTGAAACTGCTAAAAAGGAGTTTTCTGCTAATGCTTAGAAGGGTCCTCACGATACGACAAGCATACGTATTGGGAAAATTGAATCAACCACCAGTTGAGTTGGTGGCGGATTGGTCGACCATCCAGAGTACCATCCTGCAGGTCTGTTATCCATGGGAAGGAATGAAAAAAAGCTTCAAGGCAGAGGAATTTTTCCACTCCAGAACGAACTGAGTGCTTGAAATGCGATAAAGCGAAGCAATAAGAGAACGCACCAATAAGATAGCACGAAGTGAAGTGATAAGACTCAATTTCAACCAAATAGATACCTAGCACACCTGCCGTCGCAGGAATATTGGCCGAGGTCCCGCTCCTAAGGCCCACACGAGAGCCCTGAGATCTCTCTGTCTTCAAGTATAGTCTACGACCGCAACCACATATTGGTTTATCCAAGATTCTGGGCCTATGCTGGAATTCTCTGGGTGTGCACTCATCAGGACTCTGTAAGCCGGTGAAGATACAAAATAGGCCCCGTGACCAGCGGACTCGCATTTGCCACTAGATTAAGGGGTAGTCTATCAATACAGTATAAATAATGTATTTAACATTGATTCCAGGTTTTTTCGGTAGAAAAGTTGGAAGAAGTGGAGCACATATATTAAAATTCTCTTCCATATCTGGGGGAATAGAAAACTCTATTTCAAAACAATTTTCATCTTTACCTGGAACCATAGAGAAAAATTTGTGTCTTCTTGCATGTCTTCTTCAAAACTTTCGATTTGGAGATTTGCTTCAGCTTCACATGACGTATATGTATTGATGATATGAGAAGCCGTGAAACCGGCAAGGACGCCATCCACTCCTAGATACATCAGATCTGGCCTACGTCCTGATAAGAGTAGGCACTGGCTTTGTCCTTCGGGTTCGTCAGCAAACGCGAACCACGCGACGACGGTCCACTATTAGTATCCAAGACTAAGCCAGACCAAATGGCTTTTGTCATAGCCACTGTGAATCTATTTTCCATTCCCGGGGTCCACTCCAACTAGGAGAATAGTTCAGCTCCCAAAAGACAGGGAAAGTTTAGCCTAGGGACCACGTCAGCGTTTTATGGGTATTCGGGGCAGTCGGGGTAGAGAATAGAGGGAGTTCAGGCGTTCAGGTGAAGGAGCCTAAAGGGTAGAGTAGCAAAGGGCATGGATCAAGAAGAAGCAAAAAATGCCAAACATACAACAGCCAAAAGTATGGCTGTATTCACCTAGCGCCCATCATTCGGTGCCGGATGACCCGCCGCTTTACTTGGGTGTCCTTCAGTCGATTTAGGCGGCAAATCGCGCGCCACCGATAATAATATAAAGCAGATTTCCGGAAAGTCTGCCAGGTGACTTTGGAAAATCACCTAGATCTTAAACTAATCCTTAAGGACCCAGACTCTGGCTTCTTTATTCAGCGAGGAATTCAAATTAGAACTGCCCGTCGCTTCCTACGTGACATTAAGGAATAGGCCACTGTGACGAAATTTGACCAGTCCGCTGGGGAAAGTCTCGATGATGCCGAATAGACTCAACAGTTACGTTTTCTTGCCTCCACCGTGGCTGGCTCCACGCCGGATGAACTAACGGCAATTCTGTGAGCTAGGGCGTTTGATAGGGTTAGTATTGGTTGTGACGGTCAGCCGCAGGCCGTTTCTAGCTCTTTCCCAGTGTCTGCCTTGGGATCTCCTGGGGCACGCCCAAGTATACCGAAACGCACGTGATAACGCTAATCATTAGCGTCCGACGGTTGCCCCTCAAATAGCCGCGGCCCCCGCGCCTCTTTGACGGTGTCGTGCTTTCTTGCGATTTTGCGGTTCAACTGATATCACTGCGCTTGAGAATCCCTCGATCAGCCTCTGAAGATGACCAGAGCTAAAATCCCTCCCACTTATACCGTATATAAGCCGCTTTCACTTAGACAAGTACACACAGCCTGCTCCTTCTCATTTATCCAAACTTTGCCCAAATATCTGAGAACAGATTACGCTGAGGTTACAGTACTGCGAGGTCTCAAGGAATACCCAGAAACGTGATTTATTGAAAGAGAGTGAATTTCTGGAGCAGTTCTAACCCCCATGTACAGTACTGATGCTAAAAGCGTCAACAACATAGTACCGATATTGAGCAATATTAAATTTCAAGCACGAGTCCCTGCAAAGTTCCAATGGTTCATAATGGAGCACTTTTCACATAACAGTGTGCTCTTCTAAGCGGGTACCAAGATATGTCGTAAATGATGATGTGCAGGTGACAATGGACCGCAATCGAGCTGCCTGGTTGTCGTTCAGTTTCGAGAGTGAAGAAGAGGCTTGCACAGAGACCACCCAAAGATTTTTTACCTGCACCCCCGTTTCGAGCTATTACCGGGTGGTTGAATGGCGATGGATGATCTTAACTTGCCATTGCCTTGTGCTTCTCCGTCAACTCGTTGGTACGCGCCTCATCTTTCGTCTGCTCGAAGAAGTTCTCACACTCCTCGGCCGCCTTCGCGATGTCTGATTTAACTTTTTGACCACTTCTTCATCTAAAGTCACCTCCATCTCAACCCAGTCTTCAGTTCCTAGGCCCTGGAGGCCTCTCGCGAGCACCATCAGTGTCTCATCGTCGCTCATGCCGTTCACTGGCTCTGTTATCGAACCATCAGTCTTCTCATACAATTTCATAGCTGCCTCCACCGCCCTTTCGTGCTTTTCTTCGTCGGATATTTTATGTGCTGTAATATCGCTTGTTCTGGGTGTCACGATTCCCTGCCCACTGAATACTCATCAGAAACCTAATTCATTGACATAAGCTGCTTTTTTGACTTACCTAGTCCTTTATCTTATAATAGATGATTTAACCCTTATTATTGCAGCGGGCATCTTCTGTTCTTATACCGGGGTTCAGGTGGCAGTGCTATCAGCCCGGGCCTTTCACTTGAGAAAAGACCTGGGCCCAAACTTATTTGGAATACAGACTATAGAACATTTGCTCACCGCTGCTGATCGGCAAAGCGATGCGGAATTAGCCTGCAGCTAGCTTTACCAGCAATGGCCCATTTCGCGCACTCGTAGAGATAGTGGGCTTGCAAGTGGAAGGATTAAACCATCACTAGTTATCATTCGGGGCAGCTGAGTTTGACAGCCTTACATATTTACGGCCTCCTTCGTGTGTTGACTATGCAACCTGGTGCTTAGATTCCCTCACCCTAATCAGCGAGATGTACCGGTAGCACTGACCCACTTGTTCTTGTGGCTGGCTGATATTACACCACAATGGATTATAGTAGTTAGGTCAGTTCACCATCCTGGAACACGAGGTGAAGTTCCCAGAAACCCTTCTCTTGATCCTGGGAATAGAATTCCCTCAAAATATGAAGGAACCTTTGGGCTGCTTCATGTACATGTTCATTCCTTTCTTTCACAGCCCCGTCGACTTCAGGAAAGCGTTGGGCAGTTCCGGCAGCTTCACTGCTTCTGAAACCTCAAGCCGTTCTTAGATGTCAATGGCGGATATGATTGAAGTACTTCTGGGATCGCCTTGAGCGTACCTGAGATTGATGTGAAAGATACACTATACGGAGTAAATGAGCTTACACGTCGCTAGCTCTACCGGTTCCAAGAACGTGTAAGTTGACTTTAGGAGATTTTTGCTCCTAGAACCTCGATTACAGTTCCCAGACGCAGGCAAATATCCTCCGAGGAGCGAGTATAGTCTCCGATTGGGATTGATTGATGGAGGCGTCAAATACACATCCGCGTGTAGTTTAGCTCGATGGAAGATGTCTCCACTCATTCTATTCCTCCACAATAACCACTGTCGCACCTCTTGCAATAGTATAATTACCCGACTGTCCCTTCTGACTTCCAACCGAGTAGCTCCCAGTGAACGGAGGAACAAGTGTTCCTTCGAGTCCAGACGGCGCGGTAATTTCCATGATGATCTTGCCTTGTTTGTTGAATCCCCAAGCAGCGTAGATCAATCCTGCAGGGGTCGGGACTCGGCCGTGCACCCATTCTGTCTTGAACCCAGGCAGCGGGGCGAAGAGGAAGGTGCTGTAGCCGGGTTTGGTGGGTCGAACGCCCAGGGCGTAGTCGCTGAGAAACACCGTGGGGTAGCTGCCCCAGAAATGAGACATACCGGTGAAGAGGTCGAGACCGGGGTATGTACCGTCGGTGCTCTATTGGATGAGATGTTAGATGGCCACTGACCAAGGAATTTTGTGAAAGGAGAGGGGATGGAAAAGGTACTTACGATGTACTCCCAGTATCCACCAGTGTAATTGCGATTACGAGTCACCATTGGCACCCAGGTAGCATCTAGCAAGTCTTGCGCCAAGTTGGTGCGTTTCGTCGAAGCGAGACCTTCAAGTAAGAAGCTCATATAATACGGGTCCACCACACCAGGGGTATCAAAGAACCGGGTACCATTGATATAACCCGCTGGAACACGCAGAGCGGACAATTTCTCCACAAAGCTCTCCTGACGCTGCTCACTGCCGATACCGGCGAGAAGAACCTGGGCGATATCCATAAGGTCATATCCAGTACTGCCCATTGTCGCGGTATAGTAACCAGCAGTCTCATTCCAGAGTAGGGTATCAATTGCAGTTCGCGAAAGCTGTGCTTGCGTTTGGTAGAAATCAGCAGCACCATCATCACCGATGAAGCTTGCCATCTCCGACATCCGCTCTAAAGCAATAATCATCGAGACGGTGTTGGCCGGACCAAGGGCTTGTCCCTTTTCTCCCGACAACGGCGTTCCAGTGCTCCCATAAGGAGCACCGAATAACTGGGTCTCTTGATCTAAAGATCTCGACATCGCATAGCTTGTAGCCATGACCATCCTCGGCCAAACTTTCTCCAAGAAAGTATCATTACCCGAACGAACCCAATAATCATAAATAACCTGCATGAAATCAAAATCATAATCCACAATCAGCGGATCAACATTCGTCGTCCGAACTAAAGTCCCCTCCGTATCCAACGGGCTGAAAAGTGTATTAATCGGAATTTGACCCGAGCCAATCTGTCGAGAAAACGCTTCCTCAGCGGGTCCCCAGACGAATTCACCCTGTTGCGAACCAACCATGACCGTGCGAGCGGAAATAAGTCGATCGCCTAGCCATGAGAAGCGATCACGCTTACCGGAGTCGGAGCAGGTATATTGAGTATTAGTTTGGACGCCGTACTCGACGAGGACGTCTGGCAATGTCATGGGGTTACTGTACACGTTCTCGCCATTCCCGAGGGTGACGTTTACGTTACGCACATAGGCAGCTTGATCTTGCCAGGGACCAAAGGCAAAACTTTTGTATACGCCGCCCGGGATGTAGGAGTTTGGATTGCCGATGCCGTAGGAGCTGATGTTAAAGTGGACAATGCGCCGGTCGTCCAGGTAGACCGTATACGTGTCATCGCCCTGGGACTCGGTGCGAATAGTGTGCCAAGTCTTCTCAGTGACGTTGAAAGTGAGAGGGAATTTGTCCAGGACATAGCCAGGCAGACTAGTTTGGTTTTGTAAAGACCAGCCGCGGCCGAGAACCAGGGTATTCGGTGGGAGGAGGTCTCTGTCGATGTTTGCGAATGAGCCCGTTGGGTATTCACTAGTGAGAACGACTAACGATAGAATCAGTTTTATGGATTATTATACCTAGTCTAAGGGTTTGATGCACTTACAGATAGGTCCAGTGGCTTGGATAGCATCAATCTCTGTATCAACACGCCAGCCAGTACCACCCCGATCGATCATAGTCTCAAATGACAGTGTATAATTGCTCAGATTGACGACACGAGCTGTGGTAGCAGGTTTCTGGCCACGGATATAGGCACCATTCGAAGTTATCTCCCAAGTAGAAGTTTGAGAATTGGGTGGGTAGCAAACCAACTGCTGGGTCCGTGGGCCGAGTGCCCAAATATCGGTGTAAGTCGAGTTGCTTGAGGCGAAATAGCCAGGCATAGAGCTCAGCTTTTCATGGAATTAGTTGGGTTCAAGTAGAAAAGTTGTTAATTGGTAGCATACTGGGCTCTGGTCAACGGAAGAAATGAATCCAGCGCGTTGGATGACCAATTTTTTTCCGCTAATCAACTTGATCGACTGCCACCGCTGCGATCCTTGGATAAAGTAGCCCGATAGATCCCCGGTCTTGGTAATATTGAATGTCTCAACTCGAAAAGTAGCAGCCAACGCGTTGGCAAATGCAAAAGGACCGTCGCCTTCAGCTTTCAAAAGACCCCTATTAAGGAAATATATCAGAGAGGAAATTGAAATAGCTCACAATCATAGTTTACTCACGGGTAAGCTTCGGTGTACTTGACTTCGATCTGAGGATTGCCTTCTGCAACTTGAACGTGGAAGATTGGCTTTCCAGCCACATCACCACCATAGTCCACTGACATGTAGATTAGAAATCCATCCTAATTAAAAAGACGGAAGAAAGGGTGTAGAAAGAGCTTTAGAAGGGGGAAATAAACCCCAATCGTAAAAGCCGGAGATACTAACAGGTATAGATGTCCCCAGCACTTTGAAATACCAATGCACTGTCCGCACTGCCATTTGCAAACTCACTGCTCAAACCTTTCCTAAAAGAACTAGGATAAACGGTCACTGCAGTTGTGGTAGAAGTAGCATGTTGCGGCTTAGGAACTGCTGGCCACGGGACATTGTTTTGTGCTGCTCCTAGGGCACCAACGCCCAGGGAGAGCCACGAAACAAGCTCAATTCCAACCCTCATCCTGAATGGAATTTTTTTCCTGGAAGCTTGTCTTAAATTCAATGAGCTACAGCTCTTTTATGAAGCAGGAGTTCGGCAATGTGGGCGGCGGGGGAGTAGCTTTCCCACGGGGGAGTGCGGGCACCGAAGTTTTGCCGACATTCGAGTTTGTGTCCACTTTTAAGGTTCCGTACCACTGGGGTAAATCATCGGGAAGCAATTTAAATTGAGTGCCGAGCTTCTTTTGGACGAAATTGCCGACCTGCTATTGGACGGAATTACATTAGTTGAATTCACTAACTACAGACATGGGACTTATGGTCTCCACAATTTTTCCACCCGGAGTACTCAAATATTAGACGGCACCACTCAAGAAAGCTGGCCTAGCAATTAACATGCTGCGATTATGCATCAAGGGTGTTATACCCCTCGATAAATCGCTAACTGCCTGCCGCCTTCGTGTGTCCAAGGCCGGATACGCGGGCTAATTAATGACCACGTGCTTTCCCCACCGGTATGAAGCTATTTCAGGGTTCGAGAATAGAAAAAAGGGGTCATATTGCTGGTCTAGAGAATAAGTGTGGTTGATACCGCGTAAAGATAGGTGGGCGGTTAACTCATACACGGGCTAGAAGGCCTATTGATTTAAACACTAGCTAATAGAAAAGGGTGAAAGGAGTTACTATAGCAACGTGAGAGCACTTTATATTCCAGCCTTCGCTTCCCGGAACACCAGCAGAGACAATAAGCAGTGCGTCTAGTGTTGGAGGATGTCATACAACGGAAAAGGCCTAACGTAAATCCTAGCCGATCCGGCCACCCCAAAACACCATACTAATTGCGACTTCTCAGGTCACAATATATCAACAACAAGAAGATATTTTAACTTGATTTTTAGTGGGCCATGATTTCTTAGCATTAGAAATAGTGTAGTGTAACTGGAGTATTTAGACAATAATTATTTACCTATATTACCAAAAATACGCTTCGACCGAGCGACATAGATATATATATCTCTATAGTCACGACCCAAAATATTTCTCGAGCTTATAAAATACCCAGGATGATATATGTAACACCGAAATACCCTAAGAATATATAATGAGCCTTTAGCGTTGAGGTATGAATGTATGAAATATTGCATTTAGTATGGTGATTTATGGTGGCCGGGTCGGCTGGGTGGCCGGATCGGCTAGGATTTACGTTAATGAAATTAAATGAGGTAGTTGGCCTGAACGCGATAGGTTGCTTAGGGAGCTGCTTATGTTCGCTTCGTGAGCTACTTAGGGCGACGAGGTAACTAATTTGTTCTGGCTCCGGGAGCCGATCATTTCCCGCGGTGGTAGTTTTACCGTCACCTAGATTAGTTGACTAACTGACGTATTGGATAAGCGAGCCGGCCACCCGACCGAGCCGGCCACCCCATCCAAAATCGCGTCTTCTCACCAATCTACTAACTTTAGCTAATAACTATGCCACTAATTCGCTCTGAATCTCGGCAGATATTAGCCAATCAAGAGGGCAAGATCTTATTGGCTATAGCTAATCTAAAAGAAGGCTGTATCCAATCTATTCGCGCGGTAGCTAAGCTATACGATATACCTCGCTCTACTCTACAGGACCGCGCTGGTGGCCGGCTATCACGCGTTGATAAGCCACCAAATAGGCGGAAGTTTACTCAATTAGAAGAGGATTCGCTTATTGAATGGATATTCTCTATAGATAAGCGTGGAGCAGCGCCTAGGAAGGCTACTATACGCGAGATAGCTAATATCCTACTAGCTACGCGCGGTAGCCACCCTCCGCCTACCGTTAGCGTGAAATAGCTAGATAATCTTATTAACCGTCGCCCTAACCTTCGTATACGCGTATTAATTCGATACGACTACTAACGCGTATTGAATGAAGATCCTAAGCTTCTGCGAGAGTAGTTTCTTACTATTTAACGCGTTATCGATGAGAACGGTATATAACCGGAGGATATCTATAACTTTCATAAGACTAGCTTTGCAATAGGTCTTATATCTAAGTAAAAGGTAGTGACCCGGGCAGAAATATATAGTAATAGCCGTCGCCTTCTTTAATTACGAAATCGCGAATAGGTTACTATAATCGAGGTAATTAGCGCTGATGGCTATTCGCTTCCGCTATACGTGATTTTCAAAGCTAAGGTTACAATCGCTAGTTAGTTTGAAAAGCTTCCAAAAGATTAGCGAATCGAGGTCTCTACTAACGGCTGGACTAGTAATCAGATTAGCCTACGCTAGCTATGGAAGGTCTTTATCCTATTAACGAATTCGCGCTTACGCGGCCGATTTCGGCTATTAATTCTTGATAGTCATAGTAGCCTAATTAATAAGTAAGCTGGTTAGAAAACAGATTGGCTTGGTGAGGCATACCTTTTGAAGCTGGATATTCGAATCATCTTAATTTGCCAAGGTTCCATCTACTCTGATGTTGCTCATATCCATAAGCTCCGTACGATTCAGTCGTCGGACCGTTCCCGGCTTAATTCAAGCCGTAACATCATATAGTTCGCCAAACCGTGAAGCTAGCTGAACTTGTATTTCTTCCGTCAAGCTTGTTCGTCGAAAAACTAAAAACCCGTACTAAAAAAGCGGCATCAATGAGCATATGTGTTTCCAAGTCGATGCATAGCCTATTTACCAGAGAAATAGCACGGTAAATCTCATCAAAAACATCGTCCGCTAGAGGAGTTGACACATCCACTCCAGATACCTGGGCACCAAATGTAGGATGGAACTTCTCCACAGACATAAGTTGAAAACTTGCGTTGGGAGGCATATCAATGAAGTTAATTCAATAGAGACGCCGGTGTTGTGTTGACGAATAAGACTAGTCTGGATGAGGCGGCGTTGCAGAGAAGGACGAGTGTATCCAGACGAAGAAATACAATAATCAAATCTACGCACCAAGGCGTCAGCTATATAAAAGGAATGGAGAGATTGCAGCTCTTGGCCCGCAAGGGTTCAGGCTGTACTCTTTCTATGTTGTAGATGGCGGTGTGTACTTACAGGTTTCCTGTATCCCAGGATACCATACTCAGTCTTTATGTATGTGTATGAAAAGCAGGAAAGTAACTGCGTCCAATATTCTGGGAATAACTTCATACCTCATTTTGACTGTGATTTGTATAATCATAGTTCAGCTTGCATTCTGCCGGAAATCTCTAGGTTAGCGAATTAGCCACTTCCCACTCTTCTCAACCATTTTCAATGCTGATTGTGAGGGAAATGATGAAGAGCACGAATTTGAGCGCCTGCCGGTTGCCGCCCCCCTGCCTTTGCGCCTGGAGGTATCCTCCGAGTTGGACGTCTGAGAGCTTTGCTGGCGTCTATGCGAGAATGCCGCTCTCTGGAACTGATGCGTAGTTAGCACAAAAACTACGGCAATACTTTTCAGACAATCCTCGGGCGTACTCTAGTCTTGACTATTGAGCCGGAGAATATGCAGGCTATTCTTTCCAACAAATTCAATGACTTCGACCTTGGACATCTTCGGTACAAGTCATTGGAGCCTCTTCTAGGAACTGGAATTTTTACAAGTGATGGGGAGGCCTGGAAGCATTCTAGGGCCCTTGTCAGACCGTATTTTCATCGTAACCTGATAGCAGATGTGGAGGTGTATGAGAAACACGTGTCCAAGCTCATTAAATGTTTGCCCAAGGATGGGTCAACGGTGGTTCTCCAAGACCTGTTCTTTCGCATGGTGGGAAAAGCTTGGTCGACGAATGGAAATTCAAGCTGATCACATTTATAGACCATCGATTCCGCTACAGATTTTCTCTTTGGTGAATCTGTAGATTCCCTGTACTACGACAGTTCGCAAGTGTCTGACTCATTCGCACGGGACTTCGATATTTCGCAAAAAGGCCTTGCCATTCGCACTCGCTTGGGCCCACTGATGTTCTTATACAAAGACAAGAAATTTTCTCAGGCAACCATTGAAGCATGACAGTATGTGGATCAGTTTGTTGAAAAGGCAACTAAGTATCGCGCAACTATTGAGGCAGCAGGGAGCTCAAATGATCCGGCTCCGCGATATGTGTTCCTTCACGAGCTTTCAAAACAAACACAAGATCGAAAGGTTCTTACTGATCACTTGTTAAACATTTTACTCGCTGGTCGAGACACTACTGCGAGCCTTCTCACGATCACATTCTTCGTTCTTGCTAGAACGCCTGATGTATGGACTAAATTGAGAGCGGAGGTACTGAATTTGGAAGGGCGACGACCTTCTTTTGAAGATCTCAGGTCTATGAAGTATCTCACGTGGGTGATCAATGAAAGTAAGCTTCCAAAATTTGATCCAATAGCCAATCTGAGGCTAGGAAGTGGTGCAATGCTAAATTTAATCAGCATTGAAGCTATATCCCCCTGTGCCTGTCAACTCACGTACAGCCAACAAGGACACATTTCTTTCGGTTGGTGGTGGTCCAGGCGGCAAAGATCCTCTTTTCGTTCCCAGGGGACGGAAGGTCCTATACAGCATATGCTGTATGCACCGCCTTCCTGAATTATACGGATCAGATGCGACTGAGTATCGACCTGAACGGTGGGCAAACCTCAAGCCTAGTTGGAGGTTCATTCCGCTTGATGGAGGCCCTCGTGTCTGTATTGGCCAACAATTCGCCCTCACGGAGACCGCCTACACGATCGTACGCATTTTGCAAGAGTTCAGAAACATCGAAAGTCGAGACCCACAAACTTTCAATGAGAAATTGACTCTAATAATCACAAGTAAGAACGGCTGCAAAGTCGGCTTGGCACCGTCGTGGGTCTCAATCTGATTATCTAGTGTCATGGCTTCACATTGATCCCGCATCCTCCCTGTTGTGGCCCTTTCTCTCATTAAGCTATCATCGAGGGACAGTCGTGCGATGACTCTAATTTACTCTACCACCGGCCAATTGAGGGTGAAATTTGGGAGATTGGACAGCGAGGGCGGATTCCCCTCTGACTTAGCTATTGCATGTTCTGCATATATTTGCATCGGATACCCCAATTCGGGTACCCATTCTGTATGGTCCCGCTATTAATTTACATCCTAATGTATCTCGCAGTGGTATGGAGTACCGGAGCTGCGATAATCCTTAAGTGAACTAGGTCCTGTTGATTGTCTTGCCGGATATGCTACGCAGGTCGACTTCAAAAATAATGTACGCTTAGTAGCTTAGTACTTCCATCTATAATCCCATAACTAGGGTAAATATGAATAATCTTCGAGTTCGTTTGTAGATATGTTTGTGGGTTTAATAAGAGAAGTCGAATTGATTCATGCTCGGAAGGAGCAAAAGGCTGCCTTGCATGTTGCGCTTGATTTGGACTAGCTTGACATTTCGCCAGTATCAGAGTAGAACATAGAGAAAGCAAAAAGTTTATTCAATCAAAATCTGAAATCAATTATAATGAGCAAGAAAAAAGTATCAGCTTAATATAGGCGTGTGTCAGACTCAGGGGCAGGGCCCCGCGCACAAGGTAGATCCACCTTGTGTCTTTCATTCTAGGGACGGCCCTACTAGATTAGGTTTCAGAAGGGATTAGAATATACTCAGGCCAGGGTCGGTTCAGACTATCGAGAAAATTCAGAGATAAAGGAATCAGGATTTGAGCGGGAAAGAGTAGGAGAGAGGAAAAGGTTAGCTGACGGCCACGTCAGAGCTTCAGGGGCAGAAAGAAAGACACACAAAAACATACAACAGCCAAAAGCATGGCCGACCTCACCTAGCGCCCATAGTTCGGTGCTGGGCGACTCGCCGCTTTATTCTGGCCCGTTTTAGGCTACTTCAGGCCGCTTTAGGCGGCAGTTCACCTTCCTGAATATTCTTCACCCGATGACGGACTACAAGTTGTAACCTTAAAGTGTGATCACATGACAGCGATAAGCTTTTTTGGATTAGTCTCACATATCCTGACCGCGTAGTCGGCAGCCAGCGAGACAATTAAGGGGAGGGCCTCTTTCAATCCAAGATCATCTCTCTTATCTTCTTCTTCATATTCTCCCTGCGTCGCACGCTCAAGCTGGGCTTGGATGCCAATACTTTAACATCTTTAGATCACCGACATGAAAGGGCTTCTTTCTCCATAATGGGGGGACTCCACTACAAGACGATAAGGGCCTATCTTCCCCAGATACGGTTTCTCACAGTCCATTATGCCTACTTCATTGGACTCTCGTTCATTACCTCCGCCATCTTCTGGGGCGCCTCTTCACCTGCCCAGAGTGTGCGATACGTCGACTCATTGTACTTGACTGTCAGTGCCATGACCCTCGCTGGCATGAATACGGTGAACCTGTCTACGCTAAATACATTCCAACAAGTCCTATTGTTCTTCCTGATAATGTCTGGATCTGCAGTAAGAATAGCAATGACCCCTATCTTCTCTTGCTGCGGAGACTGATACAACGTAGATCTGGGTGTCCATCGCCATGGTGCTTGTTCGCAAACGTGCCTTCGAAAGAAGGTTTGGGGAGATTGTGAAAGCAGAGCGTGTCCAAAGAAAAGCCCGGAGCCAGATTGGGCTTGGTCATGCTTTAGCGCGGTCGCGCTCTTTCTCCCGACAGTCTGTCATGCCCCAGGAACGTACTTGGGTACCGGGACTTCTACCCATGCTCCGGACTTCGAATCTGGAAGCACCAGTTGACCCTAGTGGTACTTTTCCACCCAGGAGCTCGGAAAAAAGGGACCTAGGATTAAAGTCCAAGCCGAGTCATACCGATGCTGAAGAACCAGACCAGCAACCGAACCAGGATGTTCCAGAAGCTGGAAACGATGCCGAGTCTGTGGCTCCTAATGAAGGACGGCCTTATGAAGATGTTCTTAGGGAGCAAACGAGCAATTATGATAATGATGCTCATATTGTTTTCATTTCCGACGCAAGGAATGGCTCTGAAGAACAGCAATCGAACCCAATACGTCGCCGCATGCTTTCCCCATATACAAATGTTTTGAATCGCTCTAATACGCTCGGTGAACTGGAACAAGGCCCATCCGCTCAAGACTCTGATGGAGATGCTCTTCATTTGAACTTTCTCCACAAATTGCACCGCAATTCTACATTTTACAATCTCACTGAGGCGGAGCGACAAAAGCTCGGAGGTGCCGAGTATCGAGCAGTCTGCTTATTGGCTGTCATCGTGCCGATCTATTTTTTCTTATGGCAGCTGCTCGGCGGGCTAGGGGTGGGAGCCTATATCGCAAGGAACAAAGCATCGGTGGCCGAGTCTAACGGTCTTAATCCTTGGTTTGTGATCATCTTTATCCCCTGCTCTCTGGATGTCTACATCGCACGCTTAGCCCTAAATACCTATCATGGTCTTTTATAACCCTTGACTCTTTCGAATTAGGTGGACCGGCTTCTTTTTTGCAGTATCTGCGTTCAATAACTCTGGCATGAGTATTCTCGATGCGAATATGGTCGGCGGTTCATTTTTCTCCCCAAGTGAGCAGACATGTCTAATCCTCTGTCAAAGGTTCCCTTTCAAACGTCAACCTATATGCTCATCACAATGGGCCTATTGATCCTGGCTGGTAACACCTGGTAAGAAACGCCATTCGGGGCATCTGCATTAAGTTCTAGTGTGCTTATCAAGTTCCACAGCTATCCGATATTTTTGCGATGGATATTACGGGCTATTCGTCTCGTGCTTCCAGATCACGAATATTTTGATCAATTCCGTGACACATTAAACTTCCTCCTGGACCATCCAAGACGATCTTATACCACTTTGTTTCCTTCTGCGCACACATGGTGGCTGTTTCTCTCTGTGATCGTACTGAATGGTGTCGATTGGCTAGCATTTGAAATTCTCAATGTAAGTCCCTCGACTACCCAATCATACAGATCTACTAGGCTGAATCTCAGCGATAGATAGACAATCCGACAGTGGACGCCATCCCCCGGGGATCGCGGGTATTGGACGGACTTTTCCAAGCCTTGTGCGTTCGGAGCGGAGGCTTCTATTTGGTCAATATCTCAGCCCTCCAGCTAGGGACGCAAGTCATCTATGTGGTGATGATGTATATTTCGGTCTATCCCGTTGTGATTACAATGCGACACTCCAATGTGTACGAGGAGAGGAGTCTGGGAATTTATGCAGATGACCCGTCCACAAACGAGGATGATCAGGAAATTTCTTCAGAATCCTCGAGAAGTCGACTCTCCATAAACCCGGTCTCTGGAAGGATGTATTTCATCCGACATCAGCTTCGAGCTCAGATGGCTTACGACCTATGGTGGATCGCGGCGGCTGTGATCATAATTTGCATCGTGGAGGCAGGTCAATTCACCCGTGATCCTGTCACGTTCTCCGCGTTCAACATCATTTTCGAGACAGTGAGTGCCTACGGATGTGTCGGAATCAGTACTGGCCTTCCAGATCAACTTTATAGTTTCTCTGGGGCCTGGCATACCTTGAGCAAGCTTGTCCTTTGTGCCGTGATGATTCGGGGGCGCCATCGAGGTCTGCCGGTCGCGATTGACAAAGCGATTATGTTACCGAGCGACAAACTTATCAGAGCGGAAGAAGAAGACGCCCAGATCAGGATGGAACGAACAATGAGCCACAGAACTCGATGACAACGGCTGATTTACCATTGAAAGCAACACAGTAACACCAAAGAGAAATCAATATCGATAGGCCGTGAGCTCGGAGCGTATCCCAGTAGCTCAGTAAGAGGAAATTTCAGTCGGTACATTTCCGACGAGGGATCATCGGGAAATTTGAAACGGGGGAGCTGAATAATGTTAAAGCTATGCCGTGACCCTTGAGAATAGTCAAGCCCAGCGGGATATGGTGCTCATCAAACTTCCGCTCTGCCATCTCATACACATTTTGATAATCTTCTTCCAAATCGTCGTGGCTCCGTCTATCACTAGCCGTCACTATCGCGTTTTCGGATGGGACTATCTAAAGCGAAAAAGCTTCGTACAAGTTTTTTCAGGTCATGGCCACCTAGCACCTTTATGTATTGTTGAATCTTCCAGGTATTGTATTGGATTCTTAGTTGCTGCTTGCTGGGGTCATCTAGGTGGCTCCACGTTTTGGACAGGGTTTCTTACAGCCGGATAATGCTGAGACGCTGTACCCATTGCGGAGATTCCTCTGTTGAACGTCCACGGTAGCGACAGAGCCAACAAGAAATGGCGACAAAGTTTGCTTTTAGTTTAATTTCGCGAGGTAGTCTATTTGGTGGAGCCTGACCATCAACCGATAACCTTGGAACACAACGCATGGTACGGCAATGGCAATAGTTTTAAGGTTGTGGGGCTCCTAATTACGTTAACAAGTTAACTAACGTATTACTCAACTGTGTGGGCGGTAGGCAATGAGTATTGTGTTTGGGGTGAGCCACTCGATTGTGAACTAGGTTAGTTGAGTTAGGCAGAGTTGATGAAAGAGAAAACCCAAAGGGCGAATCATCGTGTGTTCCAACAAGTCACTGCGCGATATATCTCCGCGAATTAGCGTGGGCTCGGTTCTGCACCATTCCCCCACCTGCTTCTGGACATTGTGCATAGGAGGTGAAACTTGACCCGATACCAGAGACAAAACAGCGAAAGGACAGGGCAAACTGTGAAGCAAAAGTGGCAAGTCGGTGCCGCTGGTCCAATTTCGCCAATTCTGGTGTTAGGTCCTCGTTACACTTAACCATCCTTCTGGGCAATCATCCTGTTTTTTCTCCGGCCGGCTCACCACGACACGCTCACAATGGACCGTTACAGTGACACGCTCTTGGATGATGAGACTATCGACGAGGATGGTCCTCTCAATATAGGGGAGTCAGGTGAGCATCCGAGGGTCGATCCTCATGCAAATCTTCCAGTCTATCGCACGATCCATCGGTGAGTCACTCTGAGAACATGCCAGGATTATTATTTGCACGGCCAGGAAGCCTAATTAAAGATAGGATTCGTCGACTCATAACTACCAGCATAGGCAAGCTGCCTTCTGTCAGACATTGGAATGAGATGCTAAGCAGGACAACCAGATGACCCGTATACGTCAGAACAGCTGCGAGATCCGCAAATGAACCTGCGAATTGTGAGACCACTGGTTGATCAATTATATGATTCAGAAGACGTGTCTACCGGTATGTTATTACCTCCTGTCATGTCGACGGGCTGTTCACGGATCTATGACCAGGTGCATGATATCCAATAGCGATCTACTGATAACCTCTGCCTCAGTTTACTGTCTTATAGTGAACCGTGCACAGTTCCTCCGGGAGCAACACTATCAAGGGCATCTACAGACTGTTAACATCACTCGTGCTACTCTCTGTGAGATTCTAGCCAGTCGTGTGCTGCGACGATTTGATGAGGATAATTCTGGTCCAGCGGGTCTTTTGCTACTCGCTAATATTCTGGTGGCGGGGTTTGAGCCGTTCCAGAACGCACCTGAAACGATAACAAGGACACGCCCAAATGCGCCGCAGTGGCCAGTGCAGAAACGCGGTGGCTATGAGCGTAAAATCACTGCCCTTGAAGTCGCCATTATATCTGAAAGCAAGACATTACTCAGCTCATCTGCTTGTCAGAAAGTAGTGGATGCCGTCTACCGTGGACAGATTATATACACACCCCTCTCGTTCGTCGACATCATCCCCGATCATTATAAGCATCACCCGATCTCTCTATATAACCCTCGAAAATCGCCCATCTTGAACCACCGACGGCTCATAGTCCCACGGTTACGCAACATAATTGAAATATGCCAGTTCGCTGTTCTTCTACTATTGTACGGCCTTACGATGGTCTACCGTGACGGAACTAATATAACTACTTACGAGACCATCTTCTGTACTTATGCAAGTGGATGGCTGCTCGAAGAATTCGCAGCTATTATAGAGCACGGATGGTATGTACACACACAGAATGTCTGGTCTTTCCTTGATATCGCATTCTTTGGTATCTACTCTGTCTATTTCATGTTGCGAACGTATGCCGCAGTTGTTGAAGATGTCGATCTGGCCACCAGTTCACTGGACATTTTATGTGTCGCAGCACCCGTACTCTTGCCACGGCTGGCGTTCAACCTTATGCCGGATAACATGCTTTTCATCTCGTTGCGAGCAATGATGAGGGATTTCTCTGTATTGACCCTGCTGGCCACTTGGTGTTTTGCTGGCTTCTTCCTATCCATGAAATGGCTGATTGAATCTCGTTCCGAGATTGTCATCGATTTGCCCGGTTCGGCTACTATCTCGAAGTGGATGCTCTGGATTTGGTTCGGCCTCGATGGGACCGGATTCGAGCGCTCACCCGACTTCCATGTCCTCCTCGGGCCTGCTCTGATGATTGCATTTGCATTTCTTGGCAACACGCTCTTCCTGACTGTCTTGGTATCTATGCTTACCAATACGTTCGCAAAAATGGTGGAGAATTCGACTGCTCAAGTCCACTTCCGCCGCGCCGTACTCACTTTTGAAGGCGTCAAAAGCGACGCCATCTTCGCCTATCGGCCGCCGCTAAATATACTTGCGCTGGTGATTCTACTACCTCTCAAATTCGTCCTTTCACCTCGATGGTTTCACAAAGTGAACGTAGGAGCGGCAAGGGTTTTGAATGCCCCTTTGCTACTGGCTATCGGCCTCTATGAGCAGCACCAGTTATGGCAGGCTCCAAAAAATGGAACCAAGAAGTTGTACAAGCGAACCTCTCTCCTGCCGTGGACTTTCTCTGGATTCTCTCCACATGGTGACATCCAAGCCGTTTTCGATATTGAACCCCCAAAGAATGTGTTCTCATGAGGACCTTTTGTGATTATACGAAAATAGCCATCGTTGCGACCAAGCAGCCCGGAATGTCGTACAATCTACCTCGGCCAGGATGCTCTTGTACATAGCATAACTCAACCATTGTTGGGATGGATTATACGGGCAATTATCCGGGGATATCTGAGAGGACGAGAGCGAGAAAGTGAGGAAGGAACCAAAGGAATTTTGGTGTCTTTGGGGACTGATCTATTCAAAGGGAAGAAGAAGAAAGTGGAGAAAGGAAACGCCTAGCAGCGGAGCCTCAAGCATCAGACAGACAGGGAAATCTCCATCTATTGTCTCGAATGATCAGCGTTAGAGGTAAATGGAATCGTAAAATATTGGAATTTACACACTGGGCAACATGCTCGACGCCGTGTCAACCACTTGTCAATGCAAGGAGCATGAAAGACATGGCCGCAGCCTATTCCCCGAACCTTATCTTCACTGTTCAAACTCTCAAGGCAGATAATGCAGATATCGTCACTGGGGTCCATAATCATATACCCTCTCTGATTCGGTTGTCCCGTTGCTGTTACCCCTGAAAAGTACAATGCGTCTTGTCTTCCCGGTTCCGGGAGCTCACATGTTTGCCTCTCCAATTGTTGGCCTGTCGGCGACAATTTTGTGTGTGCCTTTACCGGATAGCTAGGGTATGGTTCAATAGAACAGTCGGCTTCGATAATTAGCTTCATATCCTCTTGTCGTGCACTAAATATACCAACCAATCAGATATTAGCGTAATGCATCGATATTCGGAGGAATAGGACTGACCTTCCGCTGGCATGAAGAGTCTTCCACATGGAATATTCAATAAATGGAATCCTTTCTTTCAGATCTTGGATGGTCGGTAGCAGCTGTTTTTGGGGCTTGACATTGTTTTGTAACTGAGCAAATAGTTGAGGAATTTGATCAGCTACATTCTGGGGTTGACTATATCTACGTCGACACCAGTATTGTGTGTAGCCAGCGAGACTATCGGGATCAATGTAAGACTCGGTCCATGGTTTCTTGTCTCAAGTGGGTACTGATCATATGAAAAGGATCAGAGCAACGCAGATCACTGGTGTCATAGAGGTCGAACTACTGGGCTGGCTGTCCGCAGTTGACATCTCTGCATCTCATAATCCCGAAAGAACCAAACACCCAAAACACTCTGGGGTAACGTGAATTATATTTAAATAACCCACAAGCGAGGTAACTCAAATCACCTGATGCAGTCTGCGGGATTTATTCGGTCCATTGCAAGCCTACTGCCAATTTTGGAAAGCTATGATCTACCTTTGTTCGAGGCAGCCCAAGTTGTAATTGGCGCGGTTTGTGAGTTACGGACTCGACTTATCAAAGCAAATAATAATTTAATTGAGATATTTTAATGACTAAACACCCGTGATTCACAGGAAATGCAACACCTCAGGGGATTGTCAAATTTACAAGACTTTCGAAACCAATAACCAACCCAGACAAGAGATGCAAAACTACACAATAACGGGGACTGAGAGTTCCCCATTCATCCCTCTATATGACCAAATACTGCACTTCTAGGCCTTGACAGCAGCGCAACAACCTCCGAAATCCGACTACTTTCACTGAGAACACCGCATGGCTTCACCAAGCCAACCGAGCAATGGGTCCCTTTGGCCAAACCCGGACGGCAAGTTTGCGAAGCTCATCTGCGAAAAGCACGCCGAATGCAAGGGGAATTGGCAAGAACCAAAACTCCAATGGCACTGAACCAGTTTCAAAGATCCGCTGAATGCCCGGCTCTTCTGTTACAAAGATGGCGATCGAAAGACTGATCACCATACTGGCTAGAAGCCAGGGATTGCGACGCTTCTTGCGAATCGGGTCGGCCTGTAAGATTGTGAGTCGCTTATTTCTCACACTGAGGATATTTCCCCATTGAAGAATGACCAGACAGACGAAGTACACACTTTGACCGACAACGTTGAACTGAGTGAGCTCATCCTCGGTGTAGCCATAGAAGCCGTCGGAGTACTTTTCGAATGCGAAGAACAATGCGCTTGCTGGGATTCCAGCATGTCGCCAGTAGTAGAAGAAGAACATGGAGTGTGCACAGACAGTCTGCATAACTCCCATGAACAGATAGCTCTGAATATAGACCTTAAGGTTGATCAAATGATCCTTCTTGTGGTTTCGCGGGGGCAAGTCAAGCAGTTCAAACTCCTCTTGCTCCATAATGAGTGACAGAGAACAGAAGAGATCGGTGAAAACACAGATAATAATCATCAAGAATGAGGAGAGCGGGAGAGGAACACCAAAGAAAACATTGAGAAGGACAGGCCAAATCTCTGACCATGAGCCTGCAGGCAGGAGGTAGCTAATGACTTTTTGCAGATTCTGGAACACTAGTCGTCCAAGATGAATGGCGTCGATGATAGAGTCGAATTTATCCATCAAGATCAAATCTGCGGCTTCCAGGGTGACATCACTACCAGTGACGACTGCCACACCGACATCCGCAGCCCTGAGAGCAGGCGCATCATTCACACCGTCACCAGTGACCGCGACCACATAATCGCGTGCACGAAGCTCATTGACGATCCGAAGTTTCTGGTCGGGCATGGTTCGACCAAACACAATTTCTTGGTATCCACAAACAAAGTCCCAGTCCTCATCAGTCAGTTGTGAAATCGATGGCCCTTCAAGAAGCAAGCTTGTCTGCGAGAAACTCGACGAATCCGTGCCCGTTGACGATCGACTGGTAGTGCACTCGCGCCGCTGCACAATGGTTTCAAATGTGTCTGGTGCTGCGTTTCCTGTGAAGATTCCAATGTCACGAGCAATAACAGCACCGTGAGACCAAGATCACCAGTCACCATGAAGAATTTGGCTCCCGCACGCCGGCAGGAAGCGACTGTGGCTGCTGCTTCTTTCCGAGGAGGATCGATAATTCCGAACAATCCAATGAGGGTGAGATCGGCTACGCCTTGACTCTGGATCTTGTCACTGAAGGCGTTGGTTCCGAATTGCTGGGTAGGAGTATATTGACGTTCACACAAGATGATGACTCGCTGAGCGTTCCGTGACATGTTTTCCTGGATCTCCGAAAGCATCTTCCTGACTTCGATATCTAGAGGTTGAATGCTGTTCTTAGTGCAAGACCAATAGGAGCTGCAGTGCGGCAAGAGAATATCCGATGCGCCTTTCATCAAGAGCCAGTAGCTTCCATCAATCTTCTCGGTATCAGGAGTCTTGTACAACGTGAGCACCCATTTGTTCTTGGAGTTGAAAGGAATGCTGAACACACGCTGGTATTTATCGTTGAGGCTTTTGATGGACCCCGGCCGGGCCGCTTCTGCGAACTGAAGCACAGCACCATCGGTTGGGTTACCCATAATCTTTCGCATATTAACTGGCTCATGAATAGTAGACGGGTCAAAAACGGCGTCGTTGCACAGGGCAGCAGCATTGTGAAGACTATTCAAGGGAGCGATATTTTTTTTCTTTGGTTGCGGAAAGGGCCTCGTCGACGTCATAAGTTTGGTCTGCGAAGGCCGTGGTGGTCACACTCATCCGGTTTTCAGTCAAAGTACCAGTCTTGTCAGAGCAAATAACATTGACACATCCCAGAGTTTCTACAGTGGAAAGACCTTTCGGTAAAATATTGTTGTTTTTCATGCGTGTGGCAATCATCATGAGTGTCAGCGCAACTCCAACGGGCATTCCTTCTGGGATGAATGCAACGACACAGCCCATAACATCGTCAAGCATATCAATGACATTCATACACTCGAATTGATCAACCCGGAGCCATCCGACCCAAGTGAAAAGAAGAAGAGCAGCGAGGAAGACAGTCAGAACGACGATAATCTTGACAAATCGAGCGATTTCACGCTGGATAAGGGTCGGTTGCTCCTTCACAGAAGTCGAAGAAACGGTAATATGGCCCATCACTGTATCTTTTCCAGTGAGGACTACCAGTCCAGTGGCGCTTCCGTTGGTGACCATTGTTCCCATCAAGGCAACATTACGGCTTTCCAAGAAATTGTTGTCCGTCATTCCAATGGCTCCATCAACTTCGTCGGATTCTCCAGTGAGCATTGACCTGTCGAAACGAGCATCCCCGGAAGTATCGATGAGAATAAGATCTGCAGGGACCTTGGAACACCTACATATATTGGAGCCAAAATTAGATACCGCGCGTATCCTTCTCAGCCACTTGCCTCGGTATCCCAGATCGTCCACGTGTATGATCTCGTCTTGAAATATTGGTTGGAAATGTGCCACATTGGGCTTAGTGTCCCGTGTTCGGATTCCCGAAGAACGAATTAAGTCAAAATCGGTTGGCGCGTGTCCACATTTTCTATATGTCCCCACTTCAACGGGAACCGCTGCGTTTCTTCTTTCTAAGGACAGGATTACACAAGGGCTTTGTCAAAAGCGACACAAATTCCATCTTGCACGTCAATGGCCCTGCCCTTTTGTTTATCTCTTGGAATCTTGAAAGTAAAATTGGTTGACCATGGTGGCAAACCTACTCTTGATCCTTGCGTCCTGGTTTCTGGTGCTATGTGTTGGTCATCCTGCGGACAGTCATGAAATCGGCCATTTCCAGGCCTCGACTACGAGCAAACATAATGGAAAATCACGCCATAATATCGCTAGATGCACCGACCACCTGAAAAGGCGTGGTATCCAGGCCCGTACTCAAACTCGTCGCGCTGCCTTGCTGAAGACTTATGGACAACAACTCCTCGGTGCAAGCTCAGCGAATAGCGCCTACGATGATCACATGAATGATATTTTCACCCCCCCAATCCAAGGCGTCAATGATCTTGAATGGAGAAGAAGACTGAGAATCAAACTAGAAGAACATGGCCATCCTCGATTTGCTGAATGGTTCATGGATTGGAGAAAAACGAAAACGAAGAGAGTCTAGTTTGATAGTGAATAATGATTTGGGTTTTTTAAGAATTTTTAAGCCATATCAACGATAGATCGCCAAAAATTTGATTTTCCAATTTACCAGAGACCGTAATACAAAGTTCTGTAGCGACCGAATGCCAGTACCTGATATACTCAGTGCGATCCTCCCATCTTTAGGGCCCAAAAGGATGTATAAGTGAGTAAACATCCGAGAGCTCCTACATCAGTTGCATTAGAGGCGATGAAATCTAATATGGCATCATTTCCCCGTGGATTCAACTTACCCCCCTATGCAACAAGAGGGAGTTCTGCCTTGCAGATGGCACAAGTTTCCGCCCCAGACATGTTGTTGTAATTACACTTGGGGCAATTCATCGCGAAATTGTCTTGGTGGTCTGGAGTTAATGGTGGTAATTATTTCGGGCTTTGCGAATGCGAACAGCGTCGTTGAATAGATAGAACCCTTGAAGTCGCGAGGTTTGTCCTTTAAATATAATTTCGATCGTGGCTGTCTGTCTCGTGAATCACCCAATTTGCATTATGCAGTCCGAGGCAAGAGGCCAGTGCGGATTGGAAAATTACTATTCCTGATTCGGCATATCTCTTAGGTGCCAAAAGGTTTTACCTACAATGGCATCGGGTATATTCATTCACAGCCCTTGAGCTCAGACTTTGTGATATATCTTACTTGGCTTACGGCAAGTGGACATGATTACCCAAATGAAATGGACATGAGAATGTGGAGGTGGTAGCGTGTACAACCGTTGGACCTTTGCTATGGGTGGCGTCCTTGGTGTCACAGGAAGCGCCTAGGGGCTTTGTAGGATTTATCATTAAGAATGGCTGATTTCCCTGAGATACATTCTGAAATGAAAGGTGTAGCTGTCGCCTTATTACCTTAAGATGGTTTCCCGAAGTGCGTCCTTTGGGGCTAAATTCCACTGCATCAGACTGTGCCTTGCTGCTTGCGTGGGAGATCGTTCGCGATCAATTTCTTTTCGGCGCTCAAATCTGACTAGTGACAAGCTTAAATTTGAGGAACGGAGAGGATCGCCTGACAACTCGCATCTTAGGAAAACACCCTAAAAAAAGCAACTCACTCGTATTAAATATACTCCACCCAGACTTGCTGTCTTTGTCTTATTCAAGAGAAGCTTCTATCTTCAAACCACTTTTGCTCCTGATCTTGCGACTCTCTGATACCGACCATTATGTATTTTCTTAAATATTTCGTGCGCCATATATTCCCTTGTTTTTACTCGGATATTCAAGATGAATCGGATGCCCCAGAGATATTCTCAGACGACAACCAGGGGGATAATCACACACCCCCGTATGGCTTCAATGCCATTCTTCATGGATACAAGCCGCCGCAAGTTAGTACATCGTCTCAGCTTTCCCTTTGCATCCGACAGCTAACAACTCAATATCCTTTGCATTAGACAATATATCCAGTGCTTGAAAGTCACAATACTTTGGATTCTGGCTCTATATATTCCAAAGCCTCGGGTAGCTTTGAGATCAAACACCAAAATCGCACCTCGTCTGATACCGGCACTACAGAGCCAGGTTCTGGATTTAATCAAGCAATGAATGATTTTGCGACAAGGCTCAGAGAAAAAAAAGCTCCCAAATCGCCCCCTGCCGATACGGTAATCTATCTACCATCTGGAGATACTTTACATGGGTGGGAAAAATATTATAAAGTAGGGTCCTCAAGATCACCAAAATCCTGTGAGCCAGGATGTGTTCCTTGTTCGATAGAAAAGAGGCTTTCTATTTCTGCCGACATTTCGGTGGTTTGATTTAGCTTGGTTTAGCTTAATACAAGGAAGAGACTTCCAAGTCAGCGAAGTAATCTACCGGAGAGCACACTACAAAGAGATGGTATTCACACAGCGCAAAAGTTAAATAAAATAAGATACAGCTTGGTCTTGCCCTCCATACATTTGATCTGTGCCTTCTCCGCCAAACTAAGGAAGTTCTGAAATCTATAACGCCCTGCAGCAATATAAGCAGAGATTGTCTTCCCGAAGTTCATGACGCAATAGAATTTCATTCCACGGAAAATTGTGTTCAAACTTGTCTGAGATTCTCTTATAATTTAGTTACTGAGTGGCCTCAGGCACCAATGTTCTAGGTAGCCCCTTCGTCTCGTACAAGCATTGGTCTCTAGTACTAGCATGATATGAATTTGGGCTTTTGTTTAGAAATGGGAGCAAGTTAGGCCAATAACAGCTTGACTGAAGTTTTCTTTGTCGTCCGCTGTATCTATCTATCTTCTATAAGCGCTCTTTAGAGAACCTTGATTTTGATACCTTACCCTACTGCTCGAATTATATTTAAATGATGCCGCGGCCCTTATTTCGAGTTTCAAGAAATATTTCCATCATCTTCGTTCTCAAAGTTCATCCCCATGCTGAAAACTCACTCCTTGACCCCCCGTCAAGGGCCTATTCAAGATCCAAGTGGCCGATATTTGACCTGGCGCATGACCTGGCGCTCATCGACATACAGAATAATGGCCTCATTATGGGTATTAGCAATGCTTTACATTCTCTGGCTGATTCGGGACATCTTCTACCTCCCATTCCAATAAATCCAATACCGCGATACCTTATGACAGACCTCTCAAAAAGGTTAGCCGTTGAAAGATTGAGTGCCCAAAGAGATTTATTTGTCTTGTTTAATTAAATAAAAACCGGCCATATTTAATGGGGGCTTTCATATAAATTCCACCCGGCGCAGCTTATCTAACTCTCGGTTTACATTACGATCCAATCTCGGCCATGTTTCGATTCTTGAAGTATTTTCGCAATTTTGAATTTTTAAATAGTTGTTTTGGCTCACCAGAAGTAGGTCCTACCGTACCATGGAGAGATAATGCTGACCGTTTTCAGGAGTCCAAAGACGTGCATCCATCCGCTCCAAATAGTCCCGCATCTCTACAGAATCAGGCTTCAGTAGAGGACCGAGAGACTATGACATATCCTGATGCTTCTACTCAGCCAAAAAACAAAAACTATGATGTGTCGGAGTTTCACATGGGCAGTCTTCCGAGGTCGGATAGCCCTGTGGAGCCGCAAATTGCTAGAATCCTGAATATCAAGTACTCCAAGAGTTCGCTTTATGAACATCAAGTAAATATCGCACTTCGAAAAGATAAGACGCAGCTTGAAGAGAAATGGATGGATCAGGAGGAATGTGAAGGGATGGATGGTTATGCCGATGCGTGTCAAGCATACATCGAAAACAAGCGGCAGATGTGTCGAGATTAGTGGTCCTAGGTAAGGAAGCTATATGAAGAGTGTCAATCCCACAGGTTGCCACCTTCAAGTGATTCCATCGAATCGACTCTCCTATTACCAGTTAAAGTTCATTTGTTGTTGGTGATTCTACAATTTTATCTGCCAGTAAAACAAGCAAGAAGAATCGAAGCCAAGAGGCAGCCTAGAAAAAGATGGACCCATTTGATCTTCGCCCATTTTTCAAACAGAGCCTATCAAGTGAGCTATAATATTTCAACTTATTAAGAAACCAGTTAACTCTTCTCTAGTCGTGTTGTCATTGGACGAAACAAACAGGAATGTTTTCAGCTATCAAAGTTCTATCACGCAGGCACTCAAGACTAAATACGGTATCGAGGCCTACACTGGAGCAAGCCCGGCTCAGGTGTATATGACTATGTTTGCAATGTCCTCGGTACTTTTCCATGCACATCCAGATCGCAGGTGGCTTTATAATGCCATGTGGGCTCGTGTGTTCGATTCGGAATACCTATCTACAGAAGAGGGTGCATACAACTGGCTAGCAATTGCGATAAAGCAACGTGCATGGATTGGATATGATGGAATTCGGCTTTTGCCCGTGCTAGAAACACAGGGCGGAACTCTTGCGCTGTTTAATAGCTTAGTGTAGCTCGATACCAATGAGTGGGAGGCAGAATTTTGCTTTGACACGTTCGAAACCCCAAAAATTACTGGGTCGATATACTACATCGCTTCGGTTTTTCAAAGCTGCTGTCATGGACCTGACACGAGTCCCCAACTTGACATTGAAATGTCATACGAGCAACGCAGGGCAGAAGTCGACCGGATTTCTCACAATATCGCTATATATTACTCCGAGAAGCTCCTAAGGTGAGCGGCCTCCATTCTCGGACTCGCCCTTTTTTT